ATCATTTTGTTCAGAATGTGGCATATCGTATGGGTGTGTTCGTTTCAATTAAAATTATTACAAGGATGTAAAAAAATGCAGGCTAAGTACATATGAGCAACAAAAAGGAAGAGCATTAAAAATAAAAGTAAGTATATAAGGTGGTGTAAGGTGCGGAAATGAAAGGAAGCAAAAGTTAGACCCAGGCAACAGAAAACGAAAAAGATGATGGGCAAAATGGGCGAGGAAAGGTAGAAAAAACCGGGGACACAGGTCCCAGCCTCTCCAACACCCGTTCGTTACTTTTCAAGGTTCATCATGCAAGGGCAAAGGGAACTTGTTGTAGAAGCGAACATAAGAAAAGAGAGAAAGGTAGGAAGCCCCAAAACACATCCAGGAAATGGGGCCTGAGTACTTCAAAGGTTGTACTAGACAATGTTTACACCATTCAACCACGCTTAGGAAGAGGTAACCCTCCATTCCCCAGGCCAATGGCCGAATACGAAACACAAAACCCCGTGTCCGGAAGAAACGCCAGAATGCAATGCCATCTCTCAAAGAGAGACTAAGAGACAAAAATCAAAGCAACAAAGAAGAGGAAGGAAACAGAAACCAACGACGAAACGGTCCTGTGAGGGCGATCGCCTGCTTGTGAATCGTATTTCTAGCTTTTAAACGTTCAAAGCTTCTTTGGTTGATCTTTACTGCCCGACTCGGTTTCTCTTGGCTGGCTTGCCGTTGGCGGCAACGGTGCCATTTCCGTTGGACAGCTGGGTGGCGAGCAGAGACGCCGCGTCGTCAACGACGGCAAGATCTTTGGCAGCCTCGTCGACCTCGGTGTCGTCCTCTCCATCACTGCGATCGTCCTTGGCAACGTTATGGACAACGAAACGATAGGCGATCCGAATAATGAAGAAGAGCCAAAAGATGTTGAGCGCCTGAAGCGCGGAAAGCAACCCACACGTGATCACAAAGGCAAGCGGGCACTTAAATTGCTCGCCGGCCCAGTCCAGTTCATAGGGTCCAACAGTCTTGAACTCGGTGAAGAGGCTGTAGATGATGCGCAAGTTGAGGTAGTGGCGGAGGTAAATCCACACGCACATAAACAAAAAGTAGAAGGGCCCCATGAAGGGACCGTCAATGTAGTTGAGCGACTTGGAGGTCTGCAAACTGTCAGCGGCCGAAAAGACGCAGCACCAAAAAAAATAGTGTAGGAGGAATGTAAACTTACAGCCAGAAAGAAGTCGCTGATATCATGGGTGATGTAGACGGCGAGGCCAATGTAGGTAAAATGGAAGCGGTAGCTCAGGGCAATCAGAGAGAGCGAAACAATATGGTGGCCGACGAGTTCCTTGAAGTCCTTGCGGGGCTTCTCCATGCCGAGCAGCAGCACAATGGCCTGCTGGGACCAGTACGAGGCCTGAAACAGGTAGTAGAACTTGAAGTAGGCCTCGTGGGTCCAGTGCGGCGAGTTCTCGTACATGCCGCGGGTGTTGAAGAACCACACAGGGGTGCGGGACATGACGAAGACACCGGCCGGGCCGAGAATGCCAAAGTACAGCGCCGTGTACATCTGCTCCATGAACCGTGCCTGTTTGGAACGGGAGCGAAGACCAAAGTACCGGGCAAGGGGGCGGAGGAGCTCCTGCATGATGAGCTCCCGCGTGAAGGACAGGACAACCGTGTAGAACGCGACAAAGGCAATGTCCCAGAGGCCCTTTCCGTATTGTGCGGGGGTACCAGGGGCGGCGTCGGGTGCCAATGGCAGCTTGTACGAGAGGAATATGAAGTGGTGCAACGGGTTGGCCTCGGTCGGGTAGGCCGCGTAGCCGGCGAGCATGAAGAGAAGAAGAGCCAGGGGCAGCGCCCACGTGTGACGCACGGTATACTGCTTGACGCGGCGGGCCAGCGAACGGGCCTTACGCCGTTTTGACACGCGCCTGTCCCGGGAGAGGTCCTGTTTCTGCAGCGGAAACCTTGGGTTAGCCGACGCGTGCGGGAACTGTGGGATTGGGCCGAGCCCATCCGGTTTCGAAATGCTCATCAAGGCGCTCAGGTCCAACTCACCTTGCCATTGGCAGCCGAGGGATCGACGCCGTTCAAATGGGCCAGGCTGGTAGCCAGGTTGCCATGGCTGCCTCCGGACTGCTTTCTGCGGTGGGCAACGTTGCCGTTGCCGTTAGCAAGCGATCCTGATGCTGCGGCGCCGTTGCTCTGTGTCGTAAACGACGAATCGGCATCGACATTTAAGAGCGGAAACGGCTCCTTGGCGGACGAGGATGGGGGAGCCATGATCGGTGTATCTATGGGCGGATCAAAGGAAACGGAGGCGATGGTCGAGGCTTCTCAATTGTTCTCCCTCTTGATGTTTAAACGTCGTTTCTAGCAAGCAACAGAAGCGTGATAACAATGTTCGAGATAACAAGGTTCGAGATGACTGAAACGGCTAGGTCGTCCAAAAAAGGGTGAATTGATCGTTGTCGTTGGAATGGAATAGGGACGTCGACTGCTGGTTGATCGATAGCACGGCTGAGGAATGCCGCAAGTGACGGGGCCGCCGTTTAAATATGGATGCTCGTCGATGGATTCTCCACGTGGGGCGTGTCGATTTGGGATGCGACGAGGCGCGACGAGTTGCGACGAGGTTGGATGAAGATGATGAGTGGGATACCGTTGTCAAGGCAAGTGGGCGTTGGCAGGGCGAGATAAGGGATCGGGAGGAGGGGAACGAAAAGTAAAATAAAAAAGTAAGGAGCGGACGGTGGTTTGGGTGCCAAAAAGTCGTCGATGGGGGGAGGCGGAGGGGAGTCGATTAGGGGATGAGAAAAATCTACGCGCGACAAAAGAAAAATAGGGATGATCACCCTTTGGTGGATCTAGTCGCAACGCCTGGCGTGGTCGCGGTTGAGGAAGGAGCAGGCGCGGCTAGGGAAAGAGCAAGCCGCGGCGTCGAAAAGGAAGCGCAATGGAGCGCAACGTAAACCAAAGAAAGGGGCTACGGCGTGCAATCGAAGAATGAGAGACTGGGGCAGTCGCAGTGGGAGTCGAGGGAGTCGAGGGAACCGAAGGAAATAAAGTTTTTGTTCTCCCGTCGTGCGTCGCGAAGGGGTCTAGTCACGAGCTTCGCGTTTTGGACTCGACTTTTTTTCGACTTTTTTTCAGTGTCTCTTGCCTTCCATGTCCTCCTCCCCACCTTTCCCTTTTGGGGCCACTTTCTTACCGCTCCTGTCGCCCCCTTTTTTGTTTCGCTGGCCTCTCACTCATCATATTTCTTTGCCAGGGCCATTTAGTTTGGCCTGAAAGGTTTTGAACCACTAATAGTGGCCTCCGCCAAAGCATTTGCCCCAGGGTCTAAAGTGCCGAGAGTGCTTAATTATTACTTCCAGACAGTCTCACCCCAGTCACCAGAACGGTCAAATTGTGGTCCACAAGCGGCCTGGCACTAGTGTTCATCTGTTTCGTCAAAAGGGGCCAGGCAAGTCTGAGTGACAAAATGCCTTTCAGAAAGATTTTTTCCCTTGTGACAACAGCCGCGGACTCTGAGGACGTCGCGGGTTGCGTCGCGCCTTCCGGCTCCCGGGGGCAAAAAGGGCAAGCCAAAAACAAGTCTTGCAGCCGGAAGCTACGGGCTTGGCTTTTTTATGGCAGGAATTGGACAATTAGGGCAACCGCAGCCGCCGAAACTAGGGCGCGCCGTCGTTGCCACCCGGAGGCGTCACAGGGCGGAAACAACATCAATTTTTCTTATCGGTACGCTGCCAGTGCCTGCCCCCGTGGTAAAACAGCACTTACAGTGGCTTCCGCGCGCCGCGCTCTCTGCCGCAACGACGGCGGCATCTGTGTTATCTAACCGCAAGCCAGCCGCCGTGGGAGGTGGATCGATTGGCCCTTCAAATCTTGTCACGAAGCAAATAAAGTAAATAATACAGAGCAAATGCAAGGAAAGTCACAGAATGCAAGAACGGTCTTGGCATAGAAACGGCGTTTCCGACACTGGAATTGTAGGTGACCACGGGGCATGCCTCGTCTTTTCCTTTCGTACCCTTCTTAAGTCCACCGACAGCTTCCAAGTGATTTGACGACACCCTCCAAGTCGCTTTTTTTCATGCAAGATGTCAGGCGGGCAGGTTTGCACAGCTGACAGGTCCAAGTGCCCGGCAGCATCGGCTTTCCGTGTCGCACAAAAGCCAAGACTTCGAGGCAGCCTTTGACTTTCTCTTTTTTTTACAGTCTCCAAATGGCTACATGCCGACGACTCGCCCTGCATCCCACGATGGAAAACATGGCTGGACCTTGTGGACATGTATCGGACCTGCTTACGTGATGTACAGCAAGGATTCGGCTCCCAATAGGTGCACACATGTGTGCACCTATTGGGAGCCCAAGGACTCGAAATGAAAGTCGTCATAATATAATTCATGCTAGTATATACGCCATGCCCATAATCGCGACCGCAAGAGAAGAAAACAGAAGATCAAACGATCGATGAACCCTATGAAAGCAGGGGTAAAACAAAACAAAATGCCAAAATGTGAAAGTGTTCTTCGCCAGCATGCCCGGAAAACAAAGGAATAAAACAAATCGCTATCCCGCCATTTGGGTATCACGGCCGCCCCAACAGTCTGAATGTTTTTGCCGTACTTTGTCGTAGACGGTCGAAAAAGAAACCCATCTATACCCCAGACGAAGAGCATTAACATTAAAAGACAAAGCCTCCTCCATGAAAACTCCTTTTTCTTGCAACCCGCAACAACTATTTTGTGTGAGCTCACGATCGTGGTCTATCGTGGGTAGATGAAGAAGCAGCAACCCAGCCGGTCCGTGACAGTGAAGCTGCAACAGCTGATGGCCCGTTGCGCAACGAAAGACCCTGACGTGTTGCTTCTGCCTGCGGCGCCGGAACCTAGGGAGAAATAACCAAAGGCATTGAAAAAATGGAGCATGGTCGCGGGAATGACAGTGCTGTCAAGGGCGAGTCCTGGCTGTCGTTATTGTTGCCGTTGCGTGGCTGCTGGGGTGCATCAAGACGGCGGTAGTCTTGGTGGTGTTGCTGATTGGTGCTCGTGCTGCTGCTGCTGCTGCTGCAGCGAGCCCGTTTCTTCTTCTTCCAGGACCCGGGTAAGTATGGCGCCCTGCCGCTGCGGCGCCGGAATGACCATCACAGGCAGCCCGGTTGTGTCGACGGTCGGGCGAATTCTTTCGCGCAGCTTCTCAGCTTGTGTCACCGCAAACTCTTCCAGTCGAGCACGGATATCCCACCGACCGCCTTCCTCATGTTGCAAGCGGTCCTCGTCGAGAGACGGCGACGCGCCGCTGAGGGCCTGGCTGAATGTCGACCGTGACGCTTCGCCATCGTCCCGACCTGATGCTGCACCGCGCCGGAACGGTAGCGCCTGCGCCAACGATCGCCAGCGTTTGGCACCGTGTCCAGCCGCAGCAGTCTCTGCATCGTCCGATGCCGAATGATTGCCATCCCGTGGTGGCGGCGATGCGGACGCAAAAGCGCTGGCACTCTCACTTTGCAAGCTCATAACGGACATTGTCGTCCTTGGAGGCTGGCCGTGACCAGACGAGCTCGTCGTACTGGTGCTATTGCTGCGGGACAAGAGGATTGGTGCTGCTTGATGGTGGTTGCCCATGGCTGAGCTTGGGTTGCTGTCTGTCACAGTGTGGTACCGCATGACGTATACAGTGCTATCGGCACTGGCAGTCTCGGTCCGACTCACTGGCGTAACAGCCGGTGGTGGACGTGCAGGCCAGAGTGGTGGCTGAAGTCGTCGTGCAACTCCTGTTGCGCCGCCGCCAGCTGTTGCATCTGCGTCGTCGGATCCGGCATTGCCGCCGGGTATACTGGTCAGTTCGCCCAACACGGTGTCTTGTTGCGTCGTGACGGCCTCTGGATCTTTTGTCCATGGTCGCTTGCGGTGCCGATTTGCGAATGTCGACATAAATGGCCATATCCGGACAGCGGACCGAACCGTTTTGTCAGCACCAGCGCCATCCTGGCCCGTCGCAGCATCGTCATCGCCGTCCTCGCTGCCGTCCTTGGGATCCTTGGGGTCCTTGGGATTTTTCCCGCCATGTTTGGGGCTCTTTTGCCGTTTGCGGGGCCATGAAAAGTCTGAGGGCATGATGTCCAGCATCTCGTCGCCGTCAAATACCTCGCGCCCGAGAATGCCGTCCTTCTTCTCCTCGCGTTCGAGCGCTTCTATGCGCTCCACCCACTCCCACACAATCACACTAGCGGCGGCGGCCCCTACCCACAAGACGTAGTCGCCCCAACCAGTAAAGTCTGGTTTGCAAATGTCAAGAACGAAGAAAACAATGGGCACGAGAATGGCCAGTAGTGACAACGCAGCTACAAGGCAGATGTTGCGCATGCGTGGATGGTAATACGCATAGCGTTTCTTCATGAGGGAATAGTAGATGACCCATGCGGCATAAAGCACGCCAAGGGCCAGCTCGAAGAGATAGCTGAGAGCAGGTATCGCATCGGTAAAGGAGTGGGTCGTGCCGGCATACAGAAAGCTGTTGAGGCAATCGAAGACGACGTCGAGGGTGATGAGAGAAAAGGCCGTCCATTTGATAATGACCTTTTCTCTTTGACGCGGAAAGAGGCGAATCAACGTTTGTGCCTGGGCGAGCCACAGGAAGGTGTTGGAGATGATGCGAATCACCTTTAACTGCGTGCCGCCGAGAACTTCGTCCTGCATCTCCTTGGCGTTTTGGATGCCCCAGGAGTACTGGCTCTCGGCGACACGGAATGTGTCGGCCGTGGCAATGGTGAGCGAGATGGCCACGGTCAGGGCAGCCACCTTCTGCAGCCACGGACGGCCACCAATGTTCTTGCCGCCGGAGCCACCGTTGGTGAACCCGCGTCGACCAAGAACGACAACGCCGCCGTCCAGGAAGGATCGCGGCGTGATAAAGAGCATGATGACGAGTGTGTACGCAATGACGGTTGTCGAAGCCAGTGCATAACACTGCGGGAAAGACGAAGCATAAAACGGATCGCGAAAATCAGAGTACTGAGGCGTTGAGCTGGACGTCTCGTCAATGTTGACGCCTGTGATGTTGGAGTTGTCGGTTGTTAGACTGCTCGTTGATGTCAAATCAGAGGGGTTTGCATTCGCTGTGCCGGCACCCGTGTCGGCGATAATGTTGGGTGTGTCAGAAGGCAGGCATGTTGGCTTGTATGCAGCGGCCGCAGTGAGGGTGACCGGATCGGCGCCGGGTATGTACAGAATGCCGCCTGCTGGTAGGTTGAGCGCCTGGCAGTTGTATTTTGCGGAAGCCGCGGTGGGCTTGGCAGCGGTGCCGACCGCCGCCGTAATGATCGACGGCGACACCATGATGTCACGAACATCCATGGCGGTGCTAGACTCCGTCCACAGTGGCGGCCATCCAAAGGCGCAGGGCCAAGAGGTGAAGAAGGGACCGTTGCAACCAGTTTCCTCTCCGTAGAGACAACAATCCGCCGGGGCCTATGATTCGGTCGCCATGAAGTGGGCTGTGAAAAGGGATATGTGGCCGTGTGCGCTTCGAAGACAGATACACGGGGTAAGGATGCAGCACCCCAATCGGTCGAATCCGAGGCGCAGCACGGGCTGCGTACACGAAATCCTTTGTGTCTGACGTCGTGGTCGCGTAGGTCGTCGTGCTGTGGTGTTTGAGGGCCACAGTAAATTTCCGTACGCCGACACCTTCTTGCCACTGCTCTGGTAGCCCAATCTCGTTCTTGTTGTGCCTGTCGCGATTGTCGAGGTTGATTCCAAATCGTTGCGTGACACACAAAATCGCTCGCTCGGTAGTCGACCTATTTGCCTGGTAATGGTAATTCGCAAGGCTTGACCCACATGCCCGCTGTCGTCGTTCCTATCGATGCGTTCAAAAAGCCGTCTTCAGTCGATGAATTGACGGCCGGTGACGATTGCGTGGCTCGGCGGCGTGGAACGCGCAGTCCAAAAGGGGAGTGTCTCTCCAGTTGAGTCTGGGGGCTGGGCGCCGAGAAAAGAATCGCAGGTACGTGGCGTTGTTTGCAGATGACTGGTACAGACGCCCGGGAGCAAAGGAACGTCGAGGATCGGAGTATAAAGAGGGAGAGAACACAAATAAAAGAACGGAGTCAGAATCGAGGAAGAAGAAATCGGGAGAGGAGAGAAGCAGCGATCAAACCACGGTGAGAATGTGAGTACGACAACTGTGGATTGAGGAGAAGGAGGAGCGGGAAGGAAGGAAGGGGGCGTCGTCAGGCCCGTTGTGAGCAGGAAGGCACATTCGACGGTAGCAGACAGTCCCGCGTACCGCAGTAGGGAAGAATGTAGTATAGAAGTACGGGCAGGGCAAGAGGACGCTTTTGCAGGTGGGTCGCTCTTTCCTACAGCCCTCTGTCTCTGGGTGGCGCTGCGTTAATCGTCTCGAATGTGTTTGAAACTGTGCTGGACAAAGCAAAATTTGGTGGATCTGGGAGCCGGGCACAGGCCCTGGCTGGTTCCAACAGGGCACAATTCCTCCCCTCCCGCCCGAAATTGGCTCGGGAAAGGGGTTCTGGCTGGCGCCTGGACTGGAAAAATTGACAGCCCCGCCCGAGGAAGCGACGGACAAAGGGTGGAAAAGGTAAGTACAAACTAGGGGAAGAAGCATCCACTAGGCGCCGCTAAAATGTTAAAAGCGCCTATATACAGTGCGCATAGTGTCTGGGATGCATTGGTCAAATATGTCCTCTCTGCCTCTGTGCGGACCACTTTGCCTTGCATTTGTATACACACAAAGTAGAAGAGAGTGCCAATAAGAAATAAAGCACTCCGAAAAGGATACAACTCACTCGGGGAGCCAGAGTCCGGTCCCCAGTCCTTGGATAGGGCGTGGGAGTGCCTCCTCCCGCCTTCTCTTGACTATGTCAATTTAAAGAAGGGTTCCGGCAAGCGGATGAACAGGAATCGACGGTAAATGTACGGAGTACACGTAATTAATACTTTAGTACGGTCTCCTGAAGCTGGTCTTGAATACCGACAACAAACGGCTATCAGGCACGAGGGACAAAGGTCGTATTCGCGTCGTGCACAGTATCTGTTAGTACAGTGTACAGCATGTATTCGCACCGTATTGTTTTGGCGTGAAGTTAGGTTTCGTTTTAGTGGCTGAGAGTGTCCTGTTGTGGCGGTCCCATGTTCTTTTCCAGGCTTATCTGCCATACGAAATACGCTGGAGCCAGACGAAATAGCACCAACTTTCCGTTGTTCCGTCATCCTTTGCGCAGATCGACTCTCCAGCTCCTCGAATGCTACCACGACTTTGGTTCGCTCCCCGCTCCCTTGATTTCGCTCTCTGTGCCCAGTTCCGCTCTCTTAACTCAGTCGTAGAAAACCTATGCCACAATTTCTCAAGCTGGTTGGCCGCTCAGGTACCAGAGCGTGGTAAAGAGGGGTAATCGCGTCTCTTGCCAACCCGCCCGAAATGCTTGTGTTGCTTCCCCGACGTCTTCCATCTTCAGACTAGAATAATGTTGCGGGGATATGGAGCGTAATGTTGATGCCAAGGAGCTGGAAGAGGAAGGAGGAATGGCTAAGCATTCTTATCTGCAGGAATACAATGGGGAACATGGACGATATACCTGCCGTCTTTTATTTTTCAGACCCTTCCCTGCAGGGAAGCAGCAACACGCCTGAACGTTGTCATATTTGTATTACGGCTCACCTGGTAGTCGTTCTTGCCGCTTTGGACCACGTCTTCTTCATCCCTCTGGTTCTTGGTCGCTTGCTTGTTTGTTTTTTGATTGAATCCGGTGAACAAACTCGACGTGAACATGGAAACTCGAGAACTCGTCCCCGGGTCATGTTCTGGGCACGTGGAGGGAAGTTGGTGGCGTCCCAACTCACTGGGCGCACTAACGCTGGCCATGGCAAACGACAGCCACCGATAAGCGATAAGGCTGGTGCAGGCAACATTCGCGTCATTGGCAAAACTACGTCGTACGGCATGCGACACACACACCTTGACTTCTCAACAGTGGACACTCGTTTTTCCTGGTAGTTCGTCGGGCCCTTTTTGTTTCTTCGTGATGGGCGAGCCCGACGAGTCCGCCCGGGCGCCGATGCGGGCGCACATTTTGGCGTCCATCAACCCTTTTATGAGCAACTCGGCAAATGGGGACGACCACCGAACGGATCACAAGAGACGGCCAGGACGACGACGACGAACGTATTCGTCAGAGAGGGCCCACAGCGGCGCGGACGAGAACGCGGAGGCCGCTGAGGCTGGCGGCGGTGACCACCTACGGCCGCGTACCTCCAAGATGCGGTTCAAATCGAAGCGACCGCAGGAGAGGGTCGGCGACGACGACGACAGCCGTCGGACGCGATACAGAAGCCGAGACTACGAGACAGACAGCGACAGAGGTCGCGACACTGTCATTGACCGAGATACGAAACGGAGTGGATACAGCAGCAGATTGGGCGTTGGTGATGATGCAACCCTCAAAGAATGCCTGCAAGACTCCACACACCACGAGGTCCGTTCGAAGGAAGAGGGCAGCTCACGGCGCCGCCACCATCGCCGCCGTCGGCATCACCACGGCCGACACCATATGCGGACAGAACGGTCTCTTAGTCGATCCAGGTCACGGTCCCCTGCGTCGGCGGACGGTCGTAGGGACAAGAAACGGCATCACCGCAGATCGAGGCGCGACGACAATGGACGTGAACAAGAAGAGGAAGACCCGTACGCCGATCCACCCCTCGACCCGGACGCCGCTTTCCGTCAGTCCCTCTTTGACGCCATGGCCGACGACGAGGGTGCCGCCTACTGGGAGGCTGTGTACGGCCAGCCCGTGCACGAATACGCCGAAGAGGCCAAGGCATACCAACAGCCGGCTGGCAGTGGAGGCAGCACGGCAGACCCGGACGGCTTGTCTGCAATGAATGACGACGAATATGCCGACTATGTCCGCCGCCGGATGTGGGAGCGTTCAGACGAGGGCCGGCGCGAGACACGCGAGCAGCAGAAAAAGCAGCAAGCGGCAGCTGCGGCAGCCGAGAAGGAGCGCATACGTGCAAAGCAGCGCGCGTTCGAGCAAGACCGGCGACACTGGGACGAGGTCGAGCGCAGCTTGCGGCGTGGTGAGGCGCGGAAGAAGAGGCGGTTGTGGCAGGACCGGTGGCAGACATACACGTCTGCATGGTCGACCTGGGAGGCCAGCCCGTCGCCTGGTACCATCCCCTGGCCGGTGGAGAGGGATAAGGCGCCAGACACGGATGGCAAAGGCCAAGAAGAAGCGTTTGCGAAGGAGGTCCGCGCCTTCTTTACGGGCGGACCACAGGACGGTGCCCATTACGACGACGACGACGACGACGACGACGAGAAGCTCGCGCCCACGACAGAGAAGAGTTTGCTGGCTCGGCTGCGCGATGAGCGCGTTCGCTGGCATCCAGACAAGATGCAGCAGAGACTGGGCGGCAGAGTGGATGCGATGGTAATGCGCGACATTACAGCCATCTTCCAGGTCGTCGACCGGCTTTGGAGTGAGCTGCGGGAGAAGAAGTAGGACGCCAGTTGGGCTGTGGTCCCTGTACTTGGATTGAGCGTGCCTTTCACATATTTGATACCCTCTGCGCAGCATGCGCAGTTTCTTTCGTTATTTACTTTTTCTTTTCAACAATTCATTTGACTTGCAAGCCACATCCTTCGCAAGATAAGACAATCATCATGTGGTCCGTCCCATAACGCCTAGATGGTATCTTGATGATGCACCACGTAAATCAAAATACACCAAAAAGAAAAAAAAAAAAGAACACAACGCGCAGCCAATTTTGCTCCCATTTACGTATCCCGGTACGGCGACATGGCCTTTTTCAGCTCGCCGACAATCTCCGTGGCCTCGTCGGCCGACTTGGCCTCAAAGTCGTACCGCTTGCTCTCCGTCGCCTTGTAGACGATGAGCTTAAAGTGCGTCGGGTGCCGCAGCGACACCTTGCAGCCCACCACGTTGCTAAAGTGCACCGTCGTCATCTTGCCGTGGCTGCTGGTGCCGCCGAGGTTGTTGGCAGCGTGCGATATATGCACGTACTCGCCGTCAATGGTCAGCACGCGCTCGCTGGAGCCCATAATCTTGAGGCCCTGGCGCCGCCACACCGTGTATTTCTTGTAGTTGGCGTCGCTGACCTGGTCGAGTCCGCCGTTGCCAGCAACGGGTCCAAGGACGCCCGCCCGCAGCGCTTCACGCGCAAGCGGGTGCGAGCCGGGGGTTGTGCCCGCCGCTTTGCGGAAGCGTCGCGACGCGGCCGCGGCCGCAGACGACGAGCCCCCCAAGCCGACGGCCGAGCCGCCAAGACCGTCGGAGGACAGCTTCGGCGACCCTCCGCTGCCGGGCGAATACCCGCCTCCCGCACCAGGCGTTTCCGAGGCAAAACGCTTTCGACAGAGGTCCAAGTCGGACACATTGCCAATAGACGCGACGGCACGGTCTGTCAGCACAACGACGCCCGAACCGGGAAGTTTGAGTATGTGGTTGGCCTTGTCAAGGCGGCGCCGCTTGCAGACCAAATCGAGCACCTCTTCGAGATACGTGTCCGTCGTCACATCGACAGTTACCATCTGACCTGGAGCCGCATCGATTGAGTGGATGTGTACACGAAGCAGCTTCTTGCGGCCGCGGGCCAAATTGGGGGCCGCGGTGGTCGCAGGCACATCGGCGTGGTTCACATCGGCTCGGAACATGGTCGTCAGAATCGGATTTCTTCGCGGCTGGTCCAGCGGCACAAACTGCTTGTCTCGAAGGTTAATGGCGCTCAGGAGCTGTGACGGCGGTTTGGGTTGTTGTTGATGGTCTCGGAGAACTGCAGACGACACGGCGCCCGGCTGCGGCGTCATATTCCGAGGTGTGCGTTCACCGTCCTCGTCGAGAGGCGCGCCGCCAGCAGCGTCCTTGTCCTCGGCGTCCGATGTCGTCTCCTCGGTCGGCTGCGGCGTTGCGACCTGGTTGTTGGCAAACTCGGATGCCGAAGCCTCGACAAGGCCAAAGTCGTCGTACACTTTGGAGTTGGAGCGGAAGCGCATGCCTTTGCTGTTGTTGGCCGTCGTAAAGGACACGAGCGCCTTGGTGCGCTCGAGCGGCGGGAAATCGTCGTCGACCTCGCCGCCCTCCTCCACCATGCGCAGCGTCCACCAGTTAATGTTGAGGCGGTTGGCTGGTAGCGGAGGCTCACGCTTTTCTTCAATGTACCGCCACAGACTCAGGCCAATCAGATCGGCCACTGTGACGGCCCGTTCGTTGCTGTTTTCCTGGTGAACGAACTGTCGGATAGCCACCTCGAATGGCTTCGAAGGCTGCTTCGACGAGGGCACATAGATGCGCACCATGATGGGGTTCTGCTCGCCCTGGCCAGATAGAGTCGCAAAGCGGTCAAAGGGCATGGAGGATGTCGTTTTGGACTTGAGAGCCGCGGTCAACAGACTCCGTGGCGGCACCATGCTCACGGGGCGGATGGCGCTCATGGGCCGAGGCGGTGGCAGGTCACCGATGGGCAGATGCGGAGCGGGGTGCACGGACCGACGGACAGTCGACGTGCGTGTGAATTCCCGTGGCGGCGTGCCGACAATGGGCCCGTCGTTGGGCGGTGGCTGTGGGTTGAGGGGATTCTCGCCGACAGACTGCAGGATGGAGGCCGAGTCAATGCTACCGCCAAACGTCGACGACATGTCCGAGTTGTCCGAGTCGTCGCTGGGTTGGAGATGCTCAAGTTCACGTTCCTCTTCGAGCAGGTCGCTCTCTTGTCGTTTAATGCCTAGAGACGAGCCGTTGTCCGCTACGGCGCCGCCGCTCGCCGAGCTGCCACCGAGACTCCCGCTCCGGGCTTTGTTGAGAGCCGTGTTGCTGCCACTGGACGCCTGTAGGCGCGACGAAGCAGCTTTGGCACGAGCACTGCCCCGACTCGATGCGTGCTCGCGCTCGCGCTCACGCTCCCGGTCGCGCTGTTGGTGGAAGCCGGACGCGTCGAACTCGCTCTCGGACGACAACTCACTGCTCGTGACCGTGTCACGCCGAGCATGCTCCTTGACGACCTCGAGCGCCGATTGCGAGCCTCGTCGTGGCGGCCCACCTCGTCCCGGCGAGGCTGTCCCCGCCGCTCCTCCTGTCGTTGCGGCGGCCGCGGACACAGCCGCTGTTGCAGCGGCAGTGGCCGTGGACATGGGCCCGATGGGTGGATTCCGCAGGTTCGACGATTGCAGCGGCGATGAGCCGGACCGGTGGCGGATGGGCATCTTGGCAAACTTTATTTGCTGGGCCGCGCGTTGGTCGGTGCTGCCATCGTCGTCGCTCTCGTCGCTCAGATCACTGCTGTCCTCGTCCTCGTCGAGCTGCTCACGCCGCCGCCGCCGTTTTGTTGCGGCCGCGACTGGCCCCATTGTATCTGGCCCACCACCGCCGCCGCCGCCACTGATGACGCTCCCTGCGCCGCCGTTCCGACCGCCTCGGCCACCGCCCATACCGTTTCCACCACCCCCGAGGATACCACCGCCCTCGTTGGGCTCATCTTCGAGTGTGAAACCGAGCGTCCGCGGTGCGCGAAAGTATTCAGAGGCGACAGCAGTGGGGATCGGCGGTGAGTGGGTGCGCTTTATGAGGCCGGCGTTGGCGCGCCATCCTGCTGCTTTGAACGGAGCCGAGTTCACAATGGTTTCGTTGAGGATGATGAGGCGCTCGCCCACACCGTCGGCGACTTCATTTAGGTAGGCGGTGCGCAGCTGGTAGGACACGAGGCTGCAAGAAGAAAGAGAGTGAGCAACGGAGCGGATAGGGGGAGCCAGAAAGATAAAGAGACGCCATGTTCACAAGGAGCCCAGCACGTACTCGCCAACTTGAAGAACGGACATTGCGACGAGTGCGGGGATATGATTCGGTAGCACACCGATTCAATCGAGCACAGATGCGGTCCCTGGTCGTCGCAGTTTTGTGTCTGTATATGGTCGTAAAATATCCAGCATTGGCTCAAAGATATCGTTAAAAGGAAAAAGCAAAGAGAAGAAAAAGGAAAAGGCAGTTCGGTTGCCTGGGCCGTCAGTTTACTGTCGTATCGCAAATCGTGGTATATACTCCGCATATATATATAAAACAAATCAAGAACGATAAGTCGAAACGCCTGCCGAGTGTTGGAGATGGCCAGCCATCACCAGGAGGTGGAGGAGAGGGAGGTCGGCAGGGGGTCGGTGTGCAGAGTCCGTCGTGGTGCGATGGTGAAAGCGATGATGATGAAAGGAAAGCAGGAGTTTGGTTGAGATGCGAGCTGCTGGAAGCACGGTCAGTACTTCTTTCTGTAAGGGAGACCAGTGCTGCGGGGCCTGTAGGCAGATAAAGCACGTGCATTACTTACAGCGTTGGTGCAGCACCATTTTTAGTGAACTTTTGCGGAACTACAGTGACCGACGATACGCTAGACGCTGATGTACGTAAGGTTTAGGGGCACTATCGATTGCGATGCTCTTTTTGTCCAAGATCCACACTCGCAGCCTTGCATTTTACGACGACCCTTCGGCCACTTCGACTATCCCAACCCCTCATACGATAGCCACACACAAACGACAGCCGACATCATCGACACAAGATGGGCCTTGTCGACTACGACTCCGACGGATCGGGGTCCTCGGACGGAGAGGCTGCCGCAGCGCCAACAAAGTCGACGACGGCAAACGGTGGCAAGAAACCGTTCCAGAAGCTCGTCGACCGCGCCAACTCGGGCAAGATCCTGGTGAACCTCCCGTCGACAGCCGCTCCCAAGGGCGGCGATGCACAAGACAGTGACGACGTCAATGACCGGCCGGCAAAACGCGCCAAAATCGGTGCTGGCGGCAGTCGGTTTAGCGGCTTCGGCTCGTTTCTACCACCACCCAAGAAGACAGGTGCTGTTGCCACACCTGCAGCGACGGCGTCCAAGCCAGAATCTTCCTCGGCCGCCTCTCCGCCCTCCTCTTCCTCCTCCTCTTCCCTCTCTTCAACTGCAAGGCCGGGTGTCCACCTCAAGACGAGCTCCGAGGCAGCATTCAAACGACGCGACAACGGCGACGGAGATGCCTTTCCCACTAACGGTGACAATACACCGGCAGCGGCAACAAGCGACACTTCCTCTCTCTCTTCTAAAATGTCTCTGCCGCCACCAAAGGCACCCTCGATACCCAAGGACCAAAAGGCGGCCGAAGACGTTAAGCTTGTGGGCAACCCGCTCATGTTTATGCCACTGTCGGTGTCACGCAAGCCCGGCGCCAAGAATAAGAAGAAGCCGGCCGTGGCCGTTGGCGGTGTGAGTGCACCAACGTCAACGGGATTGACAAGGCACGTGTCCGTAGACGGAACCGCCAGCAGCAACACAGCACCAGCAGAAGCACCGCCACCAAAGAAGAAGAAGGTCTCGCTCTTCTCCCTGGGCGCCGACGATCAAGCCGAGGCGGAACGGGCGTCGGCAGCAGAGCGGGCAGCCGAAGAGGCGTCGGCAGCAGCCGAAGAGGCACCAGCAGACGACTACACAAGCACGTACCAAGTAGCGCCACCCGCGGGCTACGGCTATGACTACAGTGGTCACGACCCGTCGGCAGCCGCTGCAGGGACAGCAGCCGACCCAGCCGATCCAACCTCCGTCAATGCGTTTGCCAATAACATGCACTTGTCGGCCAAGGAGCGGCGCGAGCTGTTTGGCCGCACTGGGGCTGCGGCGGCGTCCGCACAGATTGCCGCGACATTTAACATGGACCATGAGTACCGGCACAATGAGGCGCTGCGACAGGCCGAAGAAGGCACCGGTGGTGGCCAGCAGCAGTCGCACAACCCTGTGCGTACTCTGATGCCCGGAAAACACAGCTTGCGGCAGCTGGTGAACCAGGTGCATTCGCAACAGGATGCGCTCGAGGAAACGTTTGCCAAGAACCGGCAAACGCAGCGCGAGTCCGGCGGCAAGTACGGATGGCGGTAAGCAAATAATACAGGCCAGCTCACTAGCAATAGTTGAGGTTGGCAGGACTTTTGGCGTCACTTCTTGTCGATGGACAAGCGTGGTATATAAAAGTATGCACAGTGCATAAATAACTTTCAAATGCAACGCTGGCTCGGATACAATTGAAGCCTCTAAGCCTTCTATGTACAGATACATACGATCTTCAAATATTAAAACGTTGTGACAGTCACTTGGCGCCCTGTCTGGTCGCCCATCAAGAAACCCCATTCGCTGCGCGTAATGGGCGAGATGTCGTCGTAATCCTTGGGTGGCTGAGGAGCTCCGGCAACGACAGGTGAAACAAGGATGGAGGCACGGGAGAAACGAGGAAGGTGGAAAGGGTCGATAGTATCCTCGGCAGGTGACAACAGAGCAGTCGAGTCTCCGACGTCCTGCAGCATCTCGCCGATGCTAGCGGCACCGAAGAAAATGCTCCCTCCGCCGTTCATGCGGGTATTGTTTATGGGACGGGCTGTGAGCTGCTCTTCTTCTTCCTCTTCTCCCTTGCCGTCCTTCGGGCTCTCGTTCGCGGTTGAGCTGATCGCTTTGGTTGTCTTGGTTAGGTTTGTGTCAAATGATGTTTGCAGCGTCAGCACAGGAAGCAGTTTGTTCGGTGACGACGGGACCTTGGCTGGGGAGGTGGCAAATGGGCGTGCTGATGCTGGGCGGAGGATGATCGGCGACGAAGGGCTACTTGTGCAGAATTCTGGGACCCTCGATTTAACCGCTCCCAAGACAGGCGACTCAGAGTCTTCAATGACCACGCTGAGCTCTTTGGGGCCGCGGGTGGTGCACAGGTCCTCATCATCTGACAAGATGGACAGCAGAGATGATGACAGTGACGGAAGCGACGACGCGGTAGTAGACGTCTCCGACAGCACGTCCGAGGCGTTGTCGTACTCATCTTCTCTAGTCTTGTCTTGGTCATTTCCTTCCTTTCCTTCCTCGCCATCCATCTTGCGGCGGAACCGGTTCCGGCGCTCGGCAGCAGAACCGAGAAGTGGCAGCAGCATGGGTGGGTCAGAGGATGAGATGTTGAGGAACGATGTCCATGTAAGGGATGGAGGGGTGGCCACTTTCTCTGCCGGGGCCGCTGTTGGTGTGGCTTGCTCCTCGTCAGCGTCTACTCCGCCGGTGGAACCAACACAATTCGTTTCCAGAGACAGCCGCGGTGGCTTGTCGGCGGTGGAAGGAACAGGAATAGGAACGGGTGTCGCTGCTGAGCTAACGACAACGGGCGGGCTCGAGCTCAGACCGTCGGCCTCAATACCGCACTCGAGCTCAGGCCCGCCGTACGCGCGACGGTACATGCGGTTGACGTCAGCCAAATGAGTCTCTGAGAAGCTGGAGAGTGTCGGGTATTGGCGAAGTAGCTCCCGTTTCGACAAGAGCTGCTGACGGCGGCACTGGGCTCCGCCGTGGTGCGCCTGTGCCAGGATGTAACGGCGCAGCTCGTCGACTGCATCCTCGAGGCGGTAGTGATCGCCCGTCTGGGCGTAGCTGCATAGAGCAGCCTTGAAGGTGTAGAGGTGGTCAAGGGAGCGTAAAACAAGGCTGGGTGTATCGCTCAGTGTTGAGGTCGTCGTTGTCACGAAAAGGACTTGGTTTTGCTCTCGTGAGCGCTGGACAAGATTGGGAGGCAGTCCGAGTGCCGAGGCATCAACCGACGGGGCGAGCCAGTTGGAGCTTTTCTTGTCAGGAATTGAGGTCATAGCAGCATGGGAGGTGGTCACAAAACTAGAAAGACTTACCCAAGATTAAATTTCCGTGCCGCCTTTTCCAGGGTGTGGCGCAGTACCCGCTTATGGGTCTGAGGTAGGTCATCAGCGTGGACCAGGCGGATGCCAAAGGATGACGGTGACGAAGAGGAGATTGACGAGCTGGCCGTAGAGTGTGTAGCCGGTGTTGCCGGGGTAGCCGGGGTGGCTGGAGTGGCCGGCGTTGCGGGAGTGGCCGGCGTAGACGGGACAGATGAGGCCGCAGACGCCGACGACAGTGTACGGACTGGTGAGAATGGCCATCGGCTAGAACGACCGCTATCGCCCCAGGCGCGGGAGTTGCTTGTGTAAGAGGAGGAAGAAGTGGAGGAGAGAGAGGCTGACGAAAGAGTCGGCGAGACTGCGGCTGGGGAAGACGCATTCAATGATGAGTATGATGAGGAGGCCGAGTGTGACGACGTCAGGCTGGGCAGTGTGTTGGACCGAACGAGGCTCTTGATGGCGGATGTGAATCGGAATGATCCCGAGGCTGCAGGGAGCGACGACGTCGAAGACGATGTAGTCGATGATAAAGACGACGTTGCTGACAAGGATGGTAAAGCGGGCAATGGACGAGCTTGGAGAGAGGCATCTACAGATGTATATGAAGTGGCCTCTGGCTGTGCAGGAATAGCTGTGGCATAAGGAAGCTGGTATTCCCGGCGAACAACGACGAGGTCAATGACCAAAGCTTTGCGAGCAAGCCGGCGGGCCGTGTACTCGAGAGCAGCGTCGAGGTGGGAGGGCAGACGGTGGGCATCAAGGACGGACTGGCCAGCCTCAAGAGGCGACGAGATGAGGTTCTTGAGAGGCATATCGGCGATTGGCTGGAGGGCGGTGAGTGTGTAAGAGGGTGGAGCAGGATGACAGAAGAGGACGATCAAGAGAAGACGATCAAGAGAAACAAGGACCAGATCTACTTCTTCAAATAACCTTTGTCCAGGAAAGAAACATGTCCAGAGGTAGATGTTTTTTTCAAGAATGGTTAGGCATCGTGAAGAAGTTAAAGACAATGGTGAAAATGAAGGGCACACGACAGAGTCAAAGATGTGACGTTGCTAATGTTTGTGCCTTGCAGGTAAAAACACTGGGGAGGAGAGAGGAAGAGACGAAGATCAAATAGAAACGAGAAGGGGGAGGAGTAAATAAATTGAGAAAGAAGAAATGAAACAAGGCCGACCTGAAACACGGCCCCACGAAACGAAAAGGAAGGAACGAGGGAAAAGGAAGGAACAAACGACGGCATGCCAAACCTCAAAATAGACTCTGCCATCACCGCGTGGGTGATAGCTCTCTGCAGCTACGGTTGCAGCTAGGGTAGCATTGCCGGGACAGCCCAAGCGGGCACATCGTCACTTGTGCTGCATGGGGTGTGATATGTTCTCTCGGGGGCAAAAAATAGAACACAAACACATGGAGATCCTCCAATCGGGACATGAAAATGCGGGTCAGAAACATGAAACAGCCTTACGAAGAAGGGAAACCGCGAGCGAGAAGATGAGGGGATTGGCCAAGGGAAAGAACAATGGTGGTCCCTCAAGTCTGGCCGCGCTAATCGAGGCCACAGCAGAAACAATAGACCCGAACCTGAGTTTCTGAAACGAGTCGGCCGATATTGAACGTGTATCTCTTTTCTTGATCTCGAAAATAGCAACAAAATAAACAAGGGTTGAAATAAAATTTGTCCTATTGCTGCCGTTCGATGGAGATAGATGTACATAGGACCAATTTCCAGAATTAGAAGGTACGTGTTGGCCTAGTACGGCCGCTCTTCTTTTCAGATGCCAAGATTATACAAAATTTATATTTACTTTGTTACTTACCTTCGTCGTCTATACTTCGTGGGAAACGAAGAAATAGACAAGAACAAACATAAATGGCAGTAGATGCATTGCATGTAAATGCTGCAATGCGTCGCGATCGCAGTCTTCTGAGGCGGCCACGGCAAAAACAGCACGGTCAACAAATGTCACCGCGTCTCTGAGCCAAAGTGAAGACATACAAAAACGGTATCGAAATTCACGCTATGTTCTGTGCCAAATTGACACTCAAGCCCAATGTTATGGATACACGGCCTTGCCGTTTTGTGTTTTTGTCCTCTGTCGTCGACAGTCTTCGCAAAGAGGGGATGGGTTGTGCATGACATCGTCGTGGGCGCGTAAATCGCTACACCTGATTGGCTGGCCGCCTCCTGGGCCCTTCCACTTTGAGCTGCCAATGGTCGCCTGCTAGTGGCCAACAGTCGACGCTTGGCCCGTGTGCCGTGCGGGTAGGCTGGTCTCTTTTTATTTTTAGATGTTGGCCTTTCGTTTCCATCACCCCCTCTTTTTCCTTCGGTGGCTGTTGGACGTGGGCCGCTCTGGCGGGACGAACCCACACTTGCCCCAGGTTGAACGTAATAAAACAGAAGCGGAAATGCACGACAGACGCAACCTCTCTTTTTATTTTTTGAAAAGCTTTTTGACAGCCAACTCCAAATGCAACGGGCCAATGACTGCCTTGTATTCTTCCTGAGCTCCCAGGCACCCCAGCTCTTGACGGATACCATGCAGGTGACGAGATGGAAGGCGCTTACCGAGGACAACAACTCAGTAAATAACAACTGTGCCGTCTATGAGAGTTTTGAAATAGTAACTGGGAGCGGGTGAGGTGACGCAAATACCTTTCGTGGAGAGTGCAGTGATGTGACGACACATCTGCGTCCCTGTTAAGAATTCAGTCCCATCACAGCCATCTGTTGAGAAGCTATTTCGGGATTCCTAAGTCTATTTTCGGACTATGCTCATGATTCTCTGACAAGGACCGTGAAACAATAGCCGACTATTCATTTGTGCAAATAACAAACCAGATATCACGAACCAACCAACTTGCTTGTGACCTATTCTAAGAATGAGACTTCTACCTTACATTATGTTTTTAGAAAAAATAAAATTAAAAACACAAGGCCATGACATGGCGTAGTGTGACCTGAAATCCAGGAACAGAGGCCGGAAGAGACAAACTCAGCTTGCTGGTTTTGTCTTGGTTTTTTTGACTTGCCAGTTCTGCCGTTTTGAATTTGCAGTTCGCCTATTTTAGAAACAAAGCATCCGAGCACGTGTGACAGGGCCAAAATACGGCCAGGTATGTTGTCTGGGTGTTATTTCTATAATTGTGGCATTACTATCATGCCATGCAGGAAAAGATGTTTTCGCCCCTAAACGCCGCCGCTTGTCGTCAATGGTGATCGTTGAACGCGTTTCGCAATAGGCACGAAAAGGGCAGAAATAAACACAAGAGCAAAACAGACTTCTCCTGACAGAAATCAGCATCAAAGTGAGTGAAAAGTACACCCTCCAACCAAGAAGTAACACTAAGGGAAAAAGAACAATAAGCAAGAAACCGGGTCCAATATGCTGGAGGTCGTAACCGCCCCGTTGTGTGAAACATGCCTTCAGCTCCCGTACCGTCTGCCACCCTGCATGCGGTGAATAATGCCTCGGTCCAAACACCATAGAATGAGCCAGCCATGCTCTCCATAGCCCGTTTCCGTTGTCCAGTTCATTTGAAAGTCGCCAATGATCTCCGAGCAATGCAAAGAGAAACGAAAGTTGCTGGGCCAAAAAGAAGCGGAAATGCACCAAGATTTGGTTGATCAAAGTTCGTCGCCTACGCATTCTGCGAGATTAAAACCAAAAAGAATGTGACTTGAAAAAACTGGACAAAAAGTGTAGTGGTTGAAGAATGGTTGACATCGTATCAATGCGTATCGTACAAGAACGCCATGGTGGAGATTATGGTATGCTGTTGTCGGGCAATTCGCCAGCCGTCTGCATACTGGTGTCGCCCAGACTGTCTCCCGGCTCTGATGAGCAGCGTGAACTGTTCCAGTCTGGATCGTCAAAACCTCACTCGGTTAGTTTTCTATTTCAATACACCTTGTGACGCGTACTAGGGCACTGCGCAAGCATACCAGATCCGTCCTCTTCAATATCATCGACAATAAGCCCACTGAGCAAATCGGGTATCGCTGCAAGTTGTCAATATATGCGTTCTCAATCGGGATCGTACAAGGTGACGGAATACGCACTTGTGCTGAGGTTGAGGAATTGAGCAGATAGCTCGTCCTCGGGCTCGCCATCTGCCTGCGAGTAATATGGGACACATTCAGTCATTAGTCGTTGGACCGCACCGACGACCGTACCGCTGATTGGTGCATCGCGCTGGATGAAAGCGACCTGTATGTACTGGAACATCTCGACACCAAGCCGCTTCACCGCCAACACCAGCTCTGTGGCCCGTTCCTGGCCTCCTTCGTCCTCTTCAAATTGTGGGTTCGGCCCATACGAGAAGATGTTCTCTTGCAAGAACGCCTCGACATGACTAGTAACCGACATGTCAAAGTAACACAGCAGACCGGGGACCCATATGGGAATGTAACGTAGCCCGTCGATGATTGCCTTCACATCGACCTGGCCAGTTGCAGCCGTTCTGCCATGATAGAGACCACGCAATGTCTCAAAGAACATCCGACCCTCTCCATGCGCCACACCACGGCATTGCTCAGAGAGGTGCTTCATCATCCCACTCGCCAAGGGCTCTGATTTGGCATTTTGCAAAAATACAATTGTTGCCCGTAAGAACGGACTTTGTGGCGCGGCAGCAGCGTTGGACGAGACATTTGCTTTGAGCGTAGTGTAGACCTTAGCCTCCATGGCCGGATGAGTCGCCATCAGGTGAGCTATAATAGCATTTGTGGCCTGGGGGTTTTGATCAATGGCAATTAACTTGTCCACAAACACATTACCAAAGTCGCGGTTCCAGTCGCGACCCATGAGAAGGTACTCAGTGCGGGACATGGGAATGTCACCTTCCGCGTCACTAATAGCCAACGAAAACCGGTTCGTATTGTCGTTGACGTACATTTCGCTCTCGGTCCGGGGTTGCGGGCGGCTTGGGTACATTCCCACCAGCAGCGTGCCGAACAGGGCAATGACATTCTCGAACGATGGGGGTCGATTTCGTCTTTGCAGCATGATAACCATTCGTGAGAATTGCTGATCCAGAGGGAAGGCAGTGTCGGCGGATATGGTCAAGATGGTGCGTCGGAAGCCTTCGAGGTCTAGGAAAATTCCTACCTCCTCGCGGCCCATACTAGCAAATGCCAACATGAAGCCAAAGACCTCATTCCATGATCTTGATACAAGGTGAAAAGTCTCCCACAAAATTTGCATCATGTAGGCTGCACTGTGTATGATCGATGAGCTACGATGTAACTCGGTGCGTTTACCGAGTACACCAACGCCGCTCTGTTCGTCGTCGTCGGTATCCATTTCAGGCTCGTCCTCAAATGAAGTATAGCTAATGGGGAAAGCCGATTTGATGCTCTTAAGAGACCCAATAATCAGACGGCCCATTTCAAGTCGCACTTCGGGGTCCAAACTCCGCTGCACCATCTGCTTAAGAATTTCAGGCCGGGAATCGAAGTAGTCAAAGATGGCCAGCGAGCACAAGGCACACTTCTTGCCCATTGCAGAGACACCATTGAACAGTGTTTGGAAGTCGGGAGTGTCCTTAGTTCGAGATGCGACTTGGTCAAGGTGACTGAGAGCCATCTGGATGGCCAGGTTCTCCAGTCTATGGTTCGCCGAGCATTCGCCACCTGGCCTAGCAAACTGAACATGATTGAGCATCTTGCTAACAAATGGCAGGTGCTGAGGGTCGTACAACGCGTGCCGGCGCACAAGAGACGTGTTCTCGTTATGAATATGGTCAGAAAGTGCTGCTGGGATCTCGGCCTTGGACGGGCTGGACCTGCCCGACAGAGCCAACGCATCTTGCTCTCGCTTCAGCGAGGAAGACCGCTGGTAGAAGAGCATGTATGCGCTGTAAACTTTTTCCGACGGGATCCCATTGTTGGCATCAACGCTGTAAAGGCTTCCGGTCCGGTCCACCGTACCTCCGAAACACATCGACTCCATCAGAGAGTGGTCCCAAGTGCTGACTATATCGTCATTGAATTCCACCCAGCTCTCGTTTTCGTTGGAAGTAGGTCGCTCACGAATGTACGAGTAGTAATGTCCGGACTCTGCCGTGCCCGAATGGACTAGGACACCGACAAGTTCGAATACATCAGCCAGCTGCTCTTCATCGGGATTACTGAGATGGTCAATTGTATATGGGCGCATGTCAATCTCATGGGGGAACGAGAAGCGGTCGTTGATCTTGCTGCGCTGAAGCGTTCGTAGGTTGAAGTCGAAGCGCTTGAGGTGGAAGATGAGATGGTCTGGTATATCTTTCAGACATGCCCTAAATTCAGAAGTAAACAAGAATATTAGAAACTGGCTGTGGCCTAGGTGAAGAAGTCGAGAAAGCGCTGGCTCACCTTTTGATGGCGTCAACATGTCGATCACAACTCGAGCAATTGTACTTGTTGTCTGTTTCCTTTGTTAGCATGTTTGCAAAAGGATAAGACATCAATTCACAACGTCACGGTCGAGTACGTACCGCCTTCCATGATTTCACCTTCCACGTAGGCACGCAAGCTTTCCTGCAGGCTCGTCTTTCCTTTGATGTCGCACTGGATAGCTGAAAAAGGCTCAAGTCTCTCCGAGACATGCTCACACTCCTTAGAACGCACTTGCTGGACAATTTGGCCTCCAAAGAAGGACCGGAATGCCTTTTTGTCCTCCTCGGACAGGAGCTGTCCCTCCCACCGATCAAAGAGGAGATTGTAGAACTCGTCCACGTCCATTTGGTTGTGGATATCGATTGTGGTGTCATCGTATGTTTTGACACTGCCAACACACATTTGCGTATCCACAAACCGCCGGATGCTGTCCTGCAAGAAACCGAACAATATGCGAGTCTGGAAAAGTAGATTCTGCGTGTCACCTTCATCGCGCACCTCAACATTCATCATGAACTGCCGGAAAGGGACATTCATGAACAGTTGTGTGAACAAAGAGTTGAAGTAACACGTGTTGGATAGATTCCGCAAGCCAACGTAGCCGCAGGGGGCACGCAAGGCCCTTGATCGATCGAACAGTGACGGCAGCTCGTAATGGTAAGGTTCTTCATCCTCGGACTTCTCGCAAGGGACGAGTTGATCTAAATTCCGGATGATACTCGGCAGAAGGTTTGCATTGTCATCAATGAGATCAGAGATAATCTTCATCAAGAGTGCTCTCGTCTGTGAGCTGACAACAATGCGAGGATACGAGAGTTTAGAGGAGGCGGAAGATCCTTCTATGTTCGAGGCACTGCTACGCCACGGTGGGAACAGGTGCTTCCAGAAGAGTTTGTTCATGAAGCTTCTATACAAACGGCCAGCATTAGCGACAGTCGCCATTAAAAATGAACAGCAAGGCAAGGAATGAAAAACTTACGAAGGAACGGCGCCAACAATGTCAAGGTTCTGTGACGCACGGTAGATCGAATTGAACAGTCGAGACAACCCAAACATGGCATAATCGGCACACTCCGGCTGTGTGACATCCTTCACAAGAGACACAAATAGTTAGTCACCTCCTTCTTCCCCATGAGCTCTGGTGGATTTTGTCACGGCTCCGCGCTCATACATACCTCGGAGGTTGTGCAGGTCAGGATCAGATCGCCCATCGAACTCAACAAAGCCGGAATGTCTAGTGTTGATGAATTGGCCTCAAGTAAATCACCGAATAGCTGGTCAGCCAAGTTGAAGACTCCCTCGCACTTCGTCGGCTCAAGAACAGCCTTTGGCACAATTGCCAGAATCACTGGCCAGAAAAATTCTTGGAAATCAGACGCTCCCACGGTAACTAGGGCATTTTGAGATCGAATTCTGTTGCCGATTTGAACCACTGCAAGTTGTCGAATGTCCAGACGGTCATCCAACAAAAGAAGTTGCTCGGTCAGGAAGGGTGTGTTATCGTGGGTCCGGAATGCCTCCCAAAATTCGCGGCTCAGCGCACAGGCGTTCATGATGACTTTAAAAGCCAGTCTGACAACGCGCGTCGAGTTCTCTAGACGACTCTGAAACTCAGCTGACAATATTTCCATAAGACGACTCAAGAGCTTGGCGTCGAGGCTCTTGGACGCCGATTCGTTGAGCTGCGAGCTGCTTAACGCGAAATTGAGCATTTGCAGAAGCTTCGCTTTGAGCTCAACCTGCAGGCATGCATTTGCGGATATCTCTGTGACGCTCGGATCGCAAAGGGCAGATGTCACGAGGTTGGTGACTTGGGCGAGAGCAGACTGGTAAGGTAGCGCTGGCGTTGTTGGACTGGAAACTTCCGGCAATGTCGTGACTTGAGGCTCGTTGTTTTTTGGCGCGGAAGTATCTGCGGCGGACTCAGGCCCTTGAAGTTGGGCATCTGCCGAGTCTGGCGTCCTCATCTGAGTTTCCGTATCTTCTGACTCACACGAGCTAGAAACGACAGTCACGGCCTCAGATTCCGTTCGGTGACGAAGCACAAGATATTCGCGTAACGCGTGCAGTGTGTAGAGGGATTTGTATGGCTGTCCGATGTAGAAAACATCCTTGTAGGACACACCATCTTTGTCGAACCGATGCAAAAACTCTTCGTCTATGGTGAGCTCAACAAGAAATTCTTGAATCTCACTTGCAAGCTGCTCCTCCATGCTGAGGTAGCCCCATAGTTCGTGAAAGTGCTTCAGGATCTCGGACTCGACAGGCGAACCACCAGCATACGTCTCTTCCGTATCGTCTTCCGGGTCGACATCTCTCTTTACCAGAATGAGGCCGTTGTGGATGCGTAGTTCTTCGAGTGACCGGCAGATGTCGCCGCCCTTGGGTGCGAAAGCCTGCCCTCGATAGTACATACGGTAGTTGTCAAAGCCAGTGACTTCTTTCAGACTCGCTAGCAGGGATGCGGCTGTGTTTTGACGGCCAATGTTCAGAGGCTTAACCTCTGTCTGGCTGTCACCGTCAAACGACTGGTACTTGAGCTCTGCTGACTCGCCAGCGACACTGTTAAGGTTATCCGTGATGAATGGGCGCAGATCAGGAGTCGAAAACTGCGAGCTGGCGCGATAAAGGTGAAGGAATTCCTGCAAAACCTTGAGAGATCGGATAAACAAGAGCTCTTGCTCGTATATAAATGACGCCGATTCAGTAGGTCCCGCAAGATGGTTGTCGTCTTCAGATTTGGTCATGGCCTTTTCGGTTGTGGCATACTTCAGGTTCTTCGCCGCAGACGAGAGCTGCTCCAAGCACCGGCTCACCAGTGCTAAGTGGATCTTCCGAGACCTGTACAGCGGGAAGGCCCTAATGCACTGGCTGTCAATGTACACATCCTTGACGAGAAAGTGTGTGGCGCGGCGCTCAATCGTGTTAGGCGGTGCAGTCAGAACAATGCGCCACAGCTGCTCCAGAGTGATTCGATCGATACTCTTGTCTTCATCCACAATTGCCTTGCTTTGCTGACCCTTAGTTGAAGCGACGTCAAAGAGACTGCAGGCAATATCGTTCAATAAAGGAACGAGCCGTTCGCGAAGAAACTCGAGAAGCGACTCGCAGAAACAGTCAGGCGCAAGGCCGGGTAGAAATTCGGTGAGACATTGTGTCAAGAACGGGTTGTTCTCTTGCGGCCTACCACGCCGAAGACACATAATAAAGATGTTCCAGGAGGCATTGCGATCTTCTTTGCAGGCGGCCGCAGAACCAGCCATCATATCCCAAAGCCGGGCACTGAGCTCAGAGGTCAAGGTGTAGGGATGGTTGAGTACGACAGAATAAATGATGTCGCGACGAGGCGCATTTGCTGGCCCGCTGATCACCGCCGGAATAGCAAGTGTACGTCCTTTTGCAATAGCGTCTTCAAGCTCGTCCACAATCAACTTTGTCAGGTCATGTTCGGCTGTCAAGAACGCTAAATCGCGATTTCCATAATGCCCATTTATGATCGTGATAGCACTCAGGCTGCCCAACGTAGTTCTCGACTTCTGTGTGAGGTCCAGCAAGCATGTTTGGTACAGGCTCTGGCGCTGGTCGAGGTCAATCGGGACGCTGGCCAAGCACTCCCTGAGCTTGCCAATAGCGAAGCCCTGAACTTCGGGGTAAGCTACTGGGCCAGTCGCACTCGGGATGGACGATTCACGCAGCAGCTGTAGGCATACATCGAAGGGGATGATGCTATCCATAGACGCTTCAGACTCTTGTGGTGCTTTGCTGCATACGTGGCGGAGGAAGACTTCACAAAGCTCGCGCATGGATGGCGTAAATGACGCGATCGGCACCTCCAAAAATCCTCGGCAAAAGTAAACCGCAGCCTCGAATGAAAACAGATTGCCAATGCGACATGCGGTCCGAATTAAAGCTTCGGAGATTCGAGGGTTTTGCGTGTTTGTCACAGTCTGCCAAAAGAGATCGGTGTGGGCGTTGGTGTACGTTCGGGTCACTGCCAAGAAGCCGATAATATTGCCACTTTCCGCCGTGATCTCGGGGTGACACGTAGGGCCTAGCATGTATGCCACGACGCCGGTATTGGCGAGAACATCCGTCACATATCGCAAAACGTACTCGTCCTGCAGGTGTTCCTGAGCTTGGTCACCATATCGCCTCCAGCAACCGACCAACTCTTGACATAAATTAGTCACAGCCATGAGCCGAAGCTGCATCTGGCTGTTCTTGATTAGGCGGCAGAACATGGTGAAGCGCCACTTCATAGCAAATGCGTCTGGAATGCATTCGAGAGGCATTGGGTAGCGCTCTTCGATGCTGGTGGCAAGTCGCACAGCTTCCTGTTCGTCGACCTTGAGATTGATATAGACCAGGTCGCCAAGGGAAGCGATGCAATGACTAGCGTTGTCTTGGCTCACAGCAGTAATGTGATTCGTAATGGCGGTATCAAGAGCGGCAGAAGCAGTGTTAAAAACGGTTCGTCCCAGAGCGAGCACATCCTTCTCGGCCGCAAGGGCAAAGGGAGCATGGTCCGCACGTGCAACATTGCGATAAGCTTCGCGGGTGACACAAGCAGCTATCACACAAACCTGGGAGAAGTTCTCAATAATTTTGGGGTCGGTCGGCATAATGAGAACCTGCAACTCCAGCAGACGGTACAAGAGGCGAAGCGTGCCGCCCCGCTCGGTTTGATGGAAGGAGGAAAATTGCTCCAAAATAGCGGACGTGTCATCAGACTCAAAAGCCACTTCCATCCGGTCTTCGTCCTTAAGCGAAATGTCCCGTTTAGTCAGGCTAATCAGAGCCAGCAGATAGAAGGTAGATATATGCTCGCGTGATTGTAAATTCCCCGACGAACTGAGACGCTGTAGCAGATTGACCTCGAATTCAACAAAAAACGCGGCCAGTCGTGCAAAGGATACACAGAACGTGAAGACCTTCAATCTTGTCTCCAAGTCGGCAGTCCCAAAGCCAGGCGCACGCAGGTTGGGCGTGCCCCATATTAAGTCTGGGAGAGCCAACCACAGCGAACGATGAACCGTGTATGACTCGTAGACTCGTTCAAATGGAGACGTCTTGGCAAAGAGAAGGTATTGATCGATCCAAGTTTGCAGTTGATGCGATATCGATGGATCTGGAGGGGCCAGTTAGTATTCTATATGCGTCGAGAACCATGACTTGCCAAACAAAAACAACGATGACGTACCTTGCGTGAGCGGACCCATTAAGACCATCATTATATCAGCCGGTGCATCACCATTGGTAAGGTACGGAAAGTCGTCTGAGGGGTCCGGTATGGCGTCGAGTGGCACACCGGTCGTTTCCGAGAGCAGGGTGACATTCGGCGCCGACGGACCAAAGCCAGCGTCACCATCGTCAGAAACTATATCGACGATTTCTATTTGTGGGCTTGTAGTCCGAGAGCGGTCTGTGTCAGAAGGTTGCGTAGTTTCGTTGGCTAGAGGGAGAGTGGCGTTCATGGCATCGGCAGCAGGGGTAGCCCCGTCGGCTGCTTTCCGACCGTTTGGTGGTGCCATGCTGTTGTCGTTGGTGTGCTCGGCGCTTGGCCGGCCTGAGGGTGTCGGACTCGCTGGTGGAGACGAGGGTATTGTGTCAAGTGTCCGTGGGGCTGAATTCCGCAAACTAAGCGTCACACGGGGCGAAGGGCCGGTGGTTTGACGGGCCTCAGACTCAAACCCAGGGGGTGGTAATATGTCGCCCGGGTTCTGTATGGGAGTTCTCTCGGGAGTGCGGGGAGATGAGGGAGCCGGGCCAGAGTCCATGATCATTATAGAGTCGTCGGGTTCGGCCTCGACGGCAGGCGGGGAGGAGGAAAGGTGGATTGTGTCGACTATCGGGGTCTCGTGTGGAGATTGTGCGTCAGACTCGACGGATCGGCTTCGAGAATCGACGTTGAGGGAGGTTCGCCGTCGCTTTCGCGAGCTCTCGTCGCCGCCTTTGAAAGGATTAGGCCGGGCGCTGCTTGCTTCGGGAGAGCCAGCACCTTCGTTCGACTCGATCTCGGGGGATCTGGATTCGCGTTCCATCTGGCTCAAAAGACGAGATCACAGAGAGGAGCGCGTCTCTTGAGGTGCTTGAGCAGAACGGGTAAGGGCTCCGCAAGCTGACTTTTGCGAAAGTGGGCTGTGCTGGGGGTTGGTTTGCCTTCTCTGTCGTCATTCGAAGAACCGTTAGTACAATAAAACATTAAAAAAAAACGCCAAAAAAACAGCTGTATGAAAAATGGAAAGAGGTAGTTTCTCTGACGTTGCTTGATGAGGCCCTTGTCGACCCGCTTCGGTCCGCTCGTCTCTAAGCTGTGGAATGGGAAGCACTTTTCCTCCTTCGGTCAGCTTCTCGTCTTCACTTCACGCACTCTCGCTCTCAACACGAGTACATCCGCAGTGCAAGACGCGACATAGGTGCCAGGGTGCACCGTTCGGCAGGTGTGTATTGATTCCGGATATCAATTGTGGCGAAAAGCAGTGGTGATGGGGAATGAAAGAGACGCGAGGCTACTGCTTTCTGCTCGGCGGCAAGGCAGACTTGGGAGGCTAACGAAGAAGCGCTAGAAAGAGGGGATAAGAAAGCGGCGATAACGGTGAAGACGGGAAGATTGAGGATACACGAGAAAAAGAAACGGCTTCACGACTGCAATACAAGAATGTGTGAGGACGGGATGGAGGAAGGTTTGGTTCGGACGGAGAAGCAGGATTAGTACATGTGACGGTTGGATTCGGAGTTGAGTGGATGTCAAACAAAAAAAGTTGGTGAGTGGAAGGAAGAAGAGGTTGTCGAGGCTGCAGTGTTTAGAGACAGCTTAGTGCAAGCGTGACGCGAGATGGGCAAGAACGACGGAGCACTATCACCAGCAAGCAATAGGCAACACAGCAAGCAGGTGCAGGAAACGGGATGGTGGAAGGATGCGGGGCACACTTGCCTTTAACATGGTTTGTGAATATGTACTTCCTACCCTGACCACTTTGTCAAGGAAGACCAAGTACTTGCAGCTACAGGCTATGACGCGGATCCCTCTTATCAATAACAGGCTCGGATAGGGTCGGTGAGGGGGAGCTTTTAGCGCAAGATTAGATACCAAAAACGCCAAATTTGGGGCAAGGCAACAGTGGGAAAACAGGGTCGCACCTGGCAGGGAATACGACCATCGACAAGGTGCTTTGGGGTGGTCATGCCCGCTATGTCGGCAAACTATGCACGACGTACGAGACACTTCTGCGCGTGGGCTGGCTGGCGGGTCATCCAAATCCGGCGGCGCACATCATCGAGCAATGGAAGGGATGAAACGACAGGGGTGAGAGCCAATACAGGGCCGTACAAGTCTTCAAAATACACAAACAAATGTAGATTTGATGACATGGAATAGGACAAAAGAAATAAAGCGGTTCGGATGGAGAGCGAGGAAAGGAGAAGAGGACGCTTCGAGAGAGGCAGAGCACGGAGGTCTCTTCTGGGGCGCAATACACACCTTGAAAAATACATCTCGTCGCTGAGTCCCAATGATGTATATGGACGGTGACTCTGGTCTATTTACTAGCAGAGCTCTACGTCCAGCCTTGGAGGTCGGAACAATGACCGCTAGTGTTTTGGTGTTTCTTGCCGTGAATGTTGTAAAATGGGAGATGCAACAGAAAAATGAACGACAGAAAAGCCTGGGCGTTATTAGTCCGCCAGTTTAACAATAGAGCGAAAAACGGCCAGGAGATTGGAGAGGAAACCACAGACGAAAGAGGTGCGATAGATGTTAGGATGATATAAAGGCTGCCCGACAGGAAAAGAGCTGAGCGTCGTCACATGACATCACAATGGGAATGAGCTCTCGCTTGGGGAGCTGAAGCATAAGAAGTTTATGTATTACACATTATTCTATGTAACGATGGACAGGGTCCCCGCCCCGAGCTAAAAAAAAAAAAAAAAAAAAAAAAAAAAAAGAAAAAGGAAAAAAGAAAGAAAAAGAGGGAAGGTATACAACAAGTCTGAAAAGGGTAAAATTGGAAAGGGAAGGAACGACTATGTCCTCAGGTCGGTTTGGAAGTTCTCTCTGGGAAGATCGCCAAAAAAAACTTGACCCACAACTTTCCACCTGAAGGCAGCGTCTTGGCATGAACTTGGGGCAGGACCTGGTTCATCAAGCGCTAGTTGGATTTGCAAGATGCTCTCTTTTGCTGGTCCTCTTTTTCTTTCTAGAAGCCCCAGAGCGACACAACCATTGGCGCAGCCAAAACAAGCCAATGAACGGCGTGAAAAATGTTCAGAAATTGAAGGCCAAACAACGACTACGACCAATGATTGATTGATCTTACAAGCATTGCACATAACATCGGGTTTGAAAAGCAAAGCATCCTGAGTGTATCACGGCGAGAGAGACAACGTTTGCAAACAAGTATTTACCTTTTCCGAACCCAAGTCGCCGTGTACTTGCTGCTCAAAGCGTCAAATCGTCATTTAAATACACGAATCCAACCCATTTGGCCATGAGCCGTCGAAAGATCCCTGAGCTGGACACGCCCTTCTCCAGCGTTGAATGGTAGACAGCCCTTTCTCTGCTTCCTAGCTTGCGTGGACACTCTTCAATAATGCTTACCGTAAGCGTAGGCCCATGATATCCCAAGAAGATCAGGATACAATTCTCGAACTCCTTTGCTCGTACGTATTCGCCAGCTCACCCCACTGCCCGCTTCCATTCGGATTGGATTTGCTAACGACGGCTTTATTCATAAAGCCTTCTTGCACCGCTTGGCCAACACCGTCACGACCACGTTGAGCCGTCTCGGGGCAAACGCAGCCGGAGACGATCCCGGCAGCGCTCCAAAGAGAACGGCAGCGGCGGTAAGGCAGACGGAGGCGCCTTCTTGAAAGAGGAAGTAAGAGTAAAGACCGCGGGAAAACCAGAAACCAAGGATCCCAAGGACGACGTCCCGCCCTTTCCTGAGCTGGTACGATTTGTCGATGTCGGGCTGGTCAGCATTACGCGGGAGCTGGCCAAAATTGCCACACCAGGCGCCACTGTCCCGGTTACCAACGTCGATCCAAACGCAACACCGTCGATTCCATCGACATCTCCATCCTCATCCACACCGTCCTCCCCACCCAAATCCCCCACTCCATACACAGCTGTCTTTATTGTCCGATCCGGTCATCCGTCGGCATTCTACTCGCACTTCCCACAGATGGTGGCTGTGGCCTCGCAGCAGGGAGCGGCGTCGGTGCCGCCGTCTCCGCCAATCCGTCTAGTCGGATTCTCTCGCGCAGTCGAGGACCGCCTCAGTGCCAGTCTAGGTATTCCGCGGGTGTCCAGCATTGCCCTCCGAGCAGGGGCGCCACAGTCACAAGGTCTTCTCACCTTTTTAGAGGAGACAGTCCCAGCTGTCGATGTTCGCTGGTTGAAAGAAGCACAGGCCGGACAATACCGCGAGACACAGATTCGGATGACCGAAGTCAGCGTCGGTCCCAAGCGGAAGAAGAAGGTATAGAGTTCTCAATCGTACGGGAGTAGGAGGATCATGGAGTCGAGCAGCGTTAGGCAGTCTTGTAACTGTTGCTTTCTTTCGTCAGCCATGCGCAAAATAACAGCGTTTTGCTTTTTGTGTTTCCAAATCCATTTGAGAGGTTCTTCCCAACGACCTTTTCTCCTTTCTAGGATCTGTTTCACTTTTAAAAGGCGCCCATTGCCCATTTTCTCTGTGGCCAAACGTGAGAAACAACTGGCACCAACATTCGCGCCCGATTTCGAAGGTTCAAGGAGTGCCTTGTGGTCTTTTTGACAACACGTTTCTTGTCCATCTTTGATTTTTATTTTATCTCCTTATCAAGACAAGATTCAGTCTTTCCGTCGTAAGAGCACAAAACTGGAGAAAGGAACATCCAAAGCACAGATGAAAATACTTTGGGAATCTCCCGGTAGGGCAAGTGCGTGTAACCGCCGTCCACGGAGGGGCAATTTGTTCACCATGGCCTATGATTCCCCATATTAGCTGCGTCAAATACCAGAACAACGTCGCCTTGACGCTCTTACAAAGTCTAGCTACCCCTTTCCAATACGTGACTTTCAAGGTAGGTCTTCTGGCCTTTGAATATCAGGGGCTGCGGAAGACGGTGCATTCACGATCTCAGTCCTTGGCTCCTTCCTTCCATTGCCCACGTAGCCCCTTGCGACCACGGACCAGTCTACCTCGCTCTTTCCCTCCTGGGAAAATAAGTCGAAATAGGAAGTACCTGCGAATCTCTCGGCGTGACTTCTGTGTTTATTTATTTAAATATTTTTTTCTCGTTACTTCACTAGCTTGTTTCTGTACGGTTCCTTTGGCTTTGTTTTGTGTTTGTCAATGGGCCAATAGAAGCGCCTTCATTCACCACAAAGTTGCTTTGCTTCTTCCTGGTCCTCGGAGGTCTCTTACTCCTTCAGATTTTCTTTGCTCTTCGTCTCCTCTCTGGTTCCCGCTGAGTGGCTGCTGCAGCCCGACTGTTCCTTTCATAATCATCCACCAGAAGAAGCAAAATGGGTGACGGCGGTTTCACCAAGGAGCAGCTGGCCATGGCCAAGCAGCTGCAAGCCGCCTACTGCTCTAGCGGCACGTTCAAGGCCCCCATGGTGACCAGTCGTCCGGCTCCTCGCCAGCAGGCCGGCCGCTCGTCCACCGCGCCGCCCGTTCGTATGCCTCCGTCATCGCAGACGACTCGGTCGCAGCCCGGATCAGTGCTTCGTTCGAGCAATGGTCTGGTTCGCCCTCTGCCGTCAGGAGGTGAGTGGTTTTATGGTCACCTTGTCATTCCTTTACGATCACCTTACCATTACTTATTAGGCATTGCCAAATTTGGTGGGCCTTTTTTTTCTGCCCCCTTCTACAATCACTTCCCTGGTCACCAGACTTAACCCCATTGTCTGAGGACCTTCCACAGTGCACCCCTATATAATACCTACTCCTTCGGTTGTTTGTGATCCCCGTCTATGTTCTGACAGCATTGCAACTTCCCTAGGACATACTTCTACCCCTACTCCTGCTGCCCGTATTGCAACCAGCCAGGTCCAAAAGCCTGTTCCTAAGTCAACGCCAGTTCCAGCCAACCCGACCCAAAAGAAGAAAACGGTACAAAACAGCACTCAGCCCGCTGTTAAGCCTACTCCCGTTACGCAGAAAGCGGCTCTCCAGAGCCCGACGCAGTCTGCTGCTGCTAAGCCAGCAAGCCGGGTATCTTCTCAGCCGATTATCAATCCAGCTACTAGCCCGCCTATTGCCCAATCTGTCACCCAACCTGTCACCCATAGACCTGACCCCCTCCACAACGTTCAAGATCAGGATCTTCTGTCTATGGAGCCCCTGCCAGTAATTTCTACTCCGACTCTTGTCGCTACACCGGTCTCCCAGGATACTGAAATGGCGAACAGTGGCATGTCTGCAGGCCCTCAAAAAGTCAATGTTGCCAACGCGGCACCTACCGGCTCAACGGCCCCGAGCGTAGACCTTGTTGTCAACGCTCCCGCGGCGGTTCGTGAGGCTATCAAGATCAACATGATGGGGAAGCCTGTTTTGTGGAACTATATGACTGAAGCTCCCACTGTCCGCGAGCTGAGCGAGGCAGAAAAAGAGGGTCTCAGTGCCCTGCCTCCTCCCTGCCCTGCAGACAAGCGTCCCTTGATCCGTGCCTGGCATCCGAACCAACCACTACGGGTTGGGCCGAACGGCGAGGTGGTTGACGAAGAGTTCGTATTTATGATCTGTTAATAATCCACTATGTTCTTCACGACGTTCTCAATGCTGACAGCTATTATAGGGCCCCAGCCTCAACTCGACCTGTCGTTGGCCTAAAAGGCTCTCGCCATGCTTAAGCAGATGCATCCTAATTTTGTCGGAATGGCTGTTCTCTGCATACAAAGATACAATATCACAGAAATAAATGTAAGTCGGCCGCAGTAGCCAGGATACCAGGGGCGGTATGAGTAAAGATGGAAGGGGTGGCTTCCCAAGGGTGGCTTCCCAGAAGCGGTGAAAGGTCATTATCAGGGCAAAGTCAGTTTATTTGTTGTGTGTACCTAGGTCGCGGTGTCTCAATCCGTGCCGATCAGTGGTACCAAGTGAAAGAGACAGCCTACGCTCATCGTGTACTCTGTCTTTGTCATATGGTATATTGTATATCGACACAGGCAGATCTATCGAGATTTGTCACATATAGGACTTGCCACCGTAAGAGCTAATAGATGGTCAACTGAATACCAGAAACATTTTACTAAGGTCCATCTAAACATCGTGTAAACGGCTGTTGGTTCATTTGAGAAGGAGGGGAGATGACAGGCAATTGTTCTATTGACGAGGTAATGTGTTCGGGTTCGAGCTTGTGTTTGCTTTGATTTTAAGCTGTCACTAAAGACAAGTGTCTCCTTGCTGAGTCAAGCAGTAGAAGATCTTCGCTCGTTTACATCTTTGACAGAGAAGTCATAGTTAAATTTTAATAATAATGGATTGTATTCTATCCTATGCTTTGAAATGCAAATAAATGTCCATGCCATGGGCCCCAGTTTTGCTTCGCCGACTCCGATGTGGTTTTAATATCAAAATGACACAAACAAAAGAAAGCAAATGGAATGATATAACAAATAGGGGCAATAAAAAACCAGCATGTAGGAAAGCAACCTTCCCTACAAACAATGTGGCAGACACTTTTTGTACAAACACAAACACCCCTCCTCGTCATAATTTACTGGAGCATGGCATCCAGACTCTCGCCAAGCACCTCCTCGATCTTGTGGATCCACTTCGTCGTCTCGCGGTCGATCGCCTCGTCGCTGTCCTCCTGCAGCTCGCTTATCAAAGGCAGCATCTCGGGTAGCATCGCCAGCCACTCCTCGCCCACCTCCTCAGCCAACACCTGTTGGCACTGTACCAGTGCCAAGCGCTCGGCTGTGTTGGTCGAGTGCTGAAGACGCTTCAGGAGCAGGCTGTTGAGCTCCTTTTGGTGGTCCGCCGCATGAGCAGCCTTGGCTAGCTCCACAACTGCGGGCACCAAGTACTCGACGGTGAGTCCCGGCGCGCCGTTGTTGTGAAGATCCTTGGCTTTGGCAAACTGTTCGACTAGAGCCGGCGCCACAGCCGAAAAGTGAGTCGGCACCTGCCAGAAGCCGCCGCCGCTGCCATGACCGTTGGCGGCGCCGGCGGCGTTGGAATTGTCGCTGTTGCCCTCATCGTACTCAAACGCGGCCGTCAGGGTCTGCAGAATGCGGGACCAGAGGGCACGGTCCTCCAGGCTAGTTCCGATGCGGGCAGCCCGCAGCGCCGCAGCCGCACCGTCGACCAAGTACGCGGCGTAGGGCGTGACGGCCGACTTCAGGCGGTCAAAGAACAGGAACAGGAATCCATAGACGCTCTGCTGGCGCAGGCAGCGGCCCAGGACGTCCAGTTGTGGCAGACCGTGGTCGCACCACTGCATAAGGTCTTCGAACACAGGGCGGAAGGTACTGTCGTTGAGCTTGAAGACCATGTGCAGGGCAGCCGTGTTGACAGCCGCCTCGATCTCGGCCAGGCGCTTCTCAGTGGCCTGGCCCGACTTCCCCGTCTTCCCCGTGGCCTTTGCCGGCACCGCAGCCAGAATTTGGCCACTAACACGCGACTCGCGACGAAGGTCAAAGGTATTCTGGAGAATGACAGAGAGCACCGGCAGGTTCTTTACAATCGACGACTTGCCGTGCTTGTCGATGACGGCCGTCAAGACCTGTACAAACTCTAGCGTGGCCTGTACACAAACACACACAGATACGTTAGCATTGATAGACTTTGAAACAGAGGATGTGGGAGCAAACAGGCAACGTACCGATTGGCCAGCCCGCACAGCGATGGGCCAGTTGCGACGGAGGACATCCAGCATGGTCTTTGGCTCGACCTGTTTTGCGAGCAGCAGCAGGCAGGTCAGACGGGTCGTGTTGGCTTCGTTGTCGTCGTCGTCCTCAAGACCCGCTTCGGCCGATGCAAACGAGGTCACAACCAGCTTGTCGAGGTTGGCACTCGTGATCATGAATGGCAGATGCTGGGCCAGCGCCATCATCAGCGCGTAGGCAGCATTGTGCAGCGCAATGTTTTCAGGGTCAGTAGCTTTGCCCTCCAAGCTCTCTTTGAGGTAGCTCAGCGCACGAGGAATAGCCGTGGGCAAGATCGGGACGATTGCGTCGTGCAGCACGTCCACAAGCGAGGCAAGACACAGCAGAGCCATGACACGCAGGCGCGGGTCGGCCTGACCGAGGCAGGCATCACCGGCAATGGCCGCGGCGGCAGCAGTGACGGCCTCGAGATCGCGGGATCCGTACTTCTCCGCAATCTTGTCAACGCACGTAATTGCGGTATGCTTGTAGGCAATGTCGGTCGAGTCTCGGATCACGGCGGTCAACTGCGGCAGGAAGGCAAGGAGTGCCACGCGCGACTGGACGCTGGCAACACGCTCCTCGTCGACACGGACCTCGAGCGCACGCAACACCTTTTGGCGCACGCTCATGTTGGGGCGGTCCAGCAGGACCTCCACGGCCTTGATGAACTCGCCAATGGACTGCAGGTTGAGCAGCTGTGCCAGAGCATCACCGCACCGGTTGTGCAGGGTCTGCTTCTTACCAGCGCTGCCATGGGTTTTGACAGTGTCGGCGAGGGTAAGAATATCCTCGAGCAGCTGGATGTACAGCTCGCGAATCTTGGCCGATTCCATGTCGTCATCAGCCTCCTCGAGGCGCGAGATGCCATCCTTGAGGCGACGGTTAGACAGCAGCTGGGGCAGCAGCGTCAACTCCTTCACAGCGGACTTTTGCAAGTCGACCTCGCCGTCGTCTTCCCGTTTGCCGAGAAGCGTCGCAGACAGGCTGGGCTTGGGCTTGAAAATATCGCCCACCAGCGAGACGAACTTGGTCAGCGACTGCAGTTGGACCTCGACCGGGAACGAGCCGATGAGCTCGGTCAAGAAGGCACACGTGCTGTCGGCCGTGCCATAGCGGTCGGCAAACATGGCGAGAATGGCAAACAAAAAGTCGTTGGGGCCCAGGTTCTCGATCAGCGAAATAAACAGGTCGTGTTTGCGGTGCGACGGAATGTGCTCGTACGCAATGACAAAGCTGGACAGCAGGTCCGAAGCGCTTACCACGATGTTGCGCTTGCCCTTCTTGAAGGTGTCGATGAGCGGCGGGATAACCTCCTTGATGGTCTGGTTCACCACGTGGGCGGAGTAGTCGTCGCTTTGGCGCAGCACAGAGGTGCCCATCAGCGTAAAGATGGGCATCACGCTGTGCAAAACGACGTCGGGCGCGGTCTTGGCCAGGCTGGCCACCAGCAGCAGCGCTGTGTTCTGGACAGCGGGGCTTGAGGACTTGTGGATGCAGTTGACCAATACGTCGCCGTGGCCGACGGTCGTATCAATCTTGAGGTTCTTGTGACTCTGATAGACAGGCATCATGGCCAGCAAGCAACTGAGAACCACGTTCTGCAGGTAGCCGAGCTCAGAGCCAACGTACGAGCGCAGGATCTGAAGGTCCGAGAGAACGACAAAAAGGCCGGGAAGCAGCTCAGGGTGCTCGGCGGGCTTCGAGGCCTGGACGAGCTGGAGGATAAAAGTAGCACGGTTCACCAGGAGACGGAGTTCGCTATTGGCTTGGATCCGCTGGCCACGGTTGTGCTCGGAAGAGCTCGTCCTGCGTCTCTTATTAGGAGGCGCGTCGGTGGCCATCTTTGCGCTCTGCTGCAGCGTCTCCAAAAAGCTAGTCAGAATCTGTGTGCTTAGCTCCACGTTAAACAGCAAGTCGGTGGCCTCCTCGGCGGCAATATCCAGATCATCCGACGACGTGCCAGCTGCCGGCGGCTTTTGCACCTGCTCCAACATAAACTGCGCAATCACGTTCCGGAAGTCTTCCTTCATGACTGGCCACATCTTGCGAATTCTCTTGAAGACGCAGCTGATCAGGTTCGGCCGATTGTGGCCGTTGCTGTTCTGGATGATACCAAACAGGGTCTCCAGGGCGGAGGTGTCGTTGGGAATGACGACATCCACGCTTCGACTATCGACAATAGACTCGTCCAGCGCCTCCTTTGCGACAAGGGCAGAAGCTTCCTCGGCGCTGAGAGCGGCCCAGCTGTTCAGCAGGGGGAGGAGGACCTGCGTACGAGTCGTGCCAGAAACGCCGCGCACCTCATTGAGCGCCTTGAGCAAACGGATCTTAATGTTGATGACAGGTGTAAGGACAGCGTGGCTAGCGAGGAACTGTAGAATCGACAACCGCACACCATGTGAGAGCCGAACCTGCTCGCCGCCACTGCTTGATACGTCCGCCTTGCTCGACTTGTCGAGGACGTCAGCAAGCACAGCCGGGACGTGATCTTCGTGGAGAATGGCCTCCTCAGCCGAGCCAAGGAGAACGTCAAGCAGGCTGGCTCTCGCGTCAAACGTCAGCCAAGACAGGTCGGCCTGCTCCGCGTACAGCTCCGTAGCACCCCAGCGGTTCTTGCCCGTCGTGCTCTTGGTCTCCTTCAGCGGCGAGACCCGCTTCACCTCGGCGAGAAAGCCAGCGGCAGCGCGGCGGACCTTCTTAGCCGGATCGCTCAGAGCGGCGATGATATACGGCAGGACCGCCTGGAAGTCGACACCGAAGCAGTCGTCCAGGCGCAGGCGTGCAGCGGCCATGTCGAGGGCGGCTACACGTGCGAGTGTCGGGTAGGGTCCAGACCAGATGCGGATGAGGAATGTAAAGTAAAAATGGTCGGACACGGCGTCGGCACGACCGAGCAGGGGTGCGGCATCCAGCTTCTCGAGCTCGGCCTTGTCGTAGGATGCCGTCGCCAGGAAGAGCTGGCAGAACTGCTCAAACACGCCGTTCGGGTCCTGGGCGAGACAGGAAGACGGGCGCGTCAGAGTGGACAAGCGCTCGACCGTTGCATCCAGATCTTCTTTTGTAATGGAGGTGCGCGTCTCCTCAGCACCATCAGCCATTGCCGTGTCGGGTTCGTTGGCGGCAGCGGAGTCAAGCAGCAGCTTGGGACGAATCGTGGCATCCAGCTTTAGCTCCAGCTCTTCAATGTCGAAATCGACCTCCTCAATGACCTTGCGGATAACAAGGCCACCGGCATTCTCGGGCGCCTGTGACAGGACAATCAGGGTCGCGCCCAGCTCTTTCCGGACGCTGCCGTCGGGGTCCGTCTCGTCGGTGATGTCGTGGGCCGCCAGAAGCAGCGACTTGAAGGCGACAACAAGCTGCTTGTCCTGCAAGATGCCGCCAAGAATAATCGATTTGATAATGGGCAGGCCGCGCACAGCGGCTTTCTTGGCCAGGCGGTCCGTCAGGGCGAGGACCAGGCCGTTGGCCAGCTTGTCGATGCGCCGCTGCTTGCCAATCTCCACAAGCAGATGGGGCAGGTCCTGCACCTTGAGCACAGCTTTTGCCACCTTGCGGGACAGCTGCTTCGCCGAACGCTGCTGGGCGAGGATCGAGAGACAGACGAGACCGGGCTTGGCCGTCTCAGAGGTCCATCCCATGACCACCTGCTCCATAAACGCAGTGATGGCCAAGTCGGCAACCTGTGCCTTGGACACAAAAACGGATACAGCCATGTAGGCAGCAATTTGGACACCGGGCGCCTCCCGGATCATGAGAGCATCACCGAGAACGGGGCCAACCTTTTGCAGGACGGACTGGTCGTTGTCCGCCTGGACGCTTCTGCGGCCCGACCTGAGGGCGTCCAGCATGCCGTTGATGGACTCGGTCATGACGCCGCCCCAGAAGGTGATAAGGCCCGGGTAGTGCTGCTGTGTGTGGCAAGCCGCGAGGGTGTACGAGGACAGTGTGGTGAGGAAGTCGAAGCGCTGGGTTGCGTGCTGCACAATGGCAGCGCGGGGCAGGGCCGTCAGAGAGCGGATGTAGGGGCTCAGGAAGCGGTACTCGTATGGCAAATTTGAGGGCAGGATGGACATGAGTGTCACAAACACAGGGATGGAATGGTAAGGGAGGAATGTTGTGATGAGTGTCGATGTGTTGAACTCGTGAATGCTGCAAACATGTTAGCGGACGGCTGCAGCCACGTTCGGTTTCGGGAGATGCATTTGCACATGCAACGTACCGGAATCTCCGAATCAGCCACTCAATCGACTTGATCGCCGGCAGAAGCCGTAGTCTGCTGCCACTGAGACGCAAAAAGGACTCTATCTTGCGGTCCAGCTCCTTGTTCTCGGCCTCGTCCATCATGGTCCGGTCCTCGTCCTGGCTCAGCTCGCTGAAGAGAGTGTTGCCGAAAGGGACGAAGCGCTCGTCCAACTGGCACAGCTCGTCGAAGCCATCGCGGCAGATAACGTATACGGACTGGAAGCTCTGGGAAGCGGCGACACGCGGTTCAAACAGCAGTGACTTGGAATGGGCGGCTTTTTGCGCCTTGACGTCGAGCGAGATCTTGGACTTGGCGGCGATCTGCGCCAGCTGCGCCGCGAGAGACGACGCCATAGTGGCCGTTCCTCCCCAATGCGATGCTGTGTATTGCGGGTAATGTAGAGGGCCAGCGGACGGCCTGTCGTGGAGGGGGTGGTTGGGTGAGGATAGTGATGCGTGGCGAGATGCAGCGTCGTCGTCTCGCAAGTCGTGCTGGGGAGAGGATCTGAGGACGGTCGCTCTTTCCCACAGTGGTGATTTTTTCTTAGCCAAAACTTTTCTTTCTTTCCTTCTTGTTTGGAGCCCCGTAAACTTTTTTATTGCGGGTCCGATAAACAGCTTTGTCCAGTAGAATCGCTCTGATAGGTGCAGACCCACCTGAATCTACCAACGCAAGGCTCCAACAGTGAATTTAGACACTTTAAGGTACAATATCTCCCATCGGTATTGACGATGATCATACCAAATGTCAGTCATATTAATTGAACCCCCTCTCCCTTCAATTAAGTTTACGAGACTTAAAAGTAGAAAAAAAAAAAAAAAAACTAGAATTAAATTTAAAACATGTCTAGCTGCGCAAAACTCCGGATTTTTTGGACGAATTTCAACCTTAGAGAGCTTACAATACAGCTTCCGACAGGCCTGAATCAGGCACAAAATCAGATCCGGAATACCAGCTATTGCTCTAGTGAAATCCAGATTAGATTTACAATTACAGTTATCGTAGAAAAATAAAAATAATGAAAAGAAAAGAAAAGAAAAAGAAACCTTGCGAATATGAAGACCTTGTCCACAACCAAATATAAGAATGCTAATGACACAGAAGGCGGTGAAGCTTCTCACGTACCGTATCAAGAGCGCTAGTCCTAATCGGTCGCTTCTGCCTTTCTGCCGGTCTTTGCTGCCATTTTTTCTGCAGCCACTAAATTTTTTACTGAGAGTAACGGCCTCTCGTCGTTGCACGCAGAATACGAGGTCAAGAATTGTTTCTGGTCACTTCCAACCCCCCTCTTTTTCGCCGCTCGCCCAATTCCCGGTGGTAGATGACAGACTCTCCTGCAATGGACTCACGAGGCCCCAAGAGACGGAGGGTCAGCCCGACCCGCGCTGGTGGCGGAGACGGCGCAGGGAAAGGCATCGACAAGTCGTACCTCAAAAACGCCGCCAACTGGAGTCTAGAGGAGAATTATGCCGAGCGGTCTCGGAAACGGAGCAAAAAGGCGGAAAAGGCGGAAAAGGCTAGCGACCGGCTGCCGATCCGGACGGCCGACGGCATGATGCGACCCCTCGCACGTGAGCCCACAGACAACGATGCGACCAGGGACGATGAAGATCCGTTTGCGGACAGCGGCGACGATGTGAAGACAGAGGCCGGCAAGGCCAACGGCAAGAATGACGGATCGGGCGCACGGAAAGCGGCGGCACGGATACAAGAACAGAATGCACGGCTGCCCGAGCGGCAGCAGATACAAAATGCCAAGGAAGAGCTGGCCAAGCTTGCGCTGAAGCTGAACGAAAACCCAGAGGAGAACGGCGGCGCATTCAAGGCACTGGCTCAGGTCTCGCAACAGTACACATCGATTGCCGTGCAGAAAATGTGTCTCGCTACGCAGTTGTCTGTGTACAAGGACGTGATTCCAGGTTACCGCATACGCGCGTTCGGCGAGGAGCCACCAACCGGCGAAAAGCTGTCGTCGGATGTGCGTCGCATCCGGGCGTACGAGCAGAGTCTTCTGGCTGGCTACCAGGGCTACCTGCGGGAGCTGATGCGCCTGTCTAAGCTGCGGCCAAGCGATGCCGCCAACAAAAACGGCGCTGGCAAGCGCTCCAAAGCCGCGAAGAACGCCACCAGCCTTGCGGACGCTGCGCTGGCTTGCGCCTGCTCGCTACTCAACGCGGTGGCACACTTCAACTTCCGCGAGGACCTGCTCAAGATCATTGTGGGCAAGCTCAGCACACGCCGCGTGGACGCGTCGTTTGTCAAGTGCCGCCTCGCACTCGAGACATTGTTCCGCGAGGACGACGAGGGCCGGCCATCGATGGAGGCCGTGGCCATGCTGTCCAAGATGATGAAGGCCCGCGACTACTGGGTCGATGAGAGTGTCCCCAACACGTTTCTGCACCTGCGGCTGCTCTCCGAGTTCTCGGGCAAGGGCTCGCAGGACAGCGTGGAGCGCGCGTCCGACGAGACGAAACGCAAGGAGAAGAAGGAGTTCCGGACAAAGCGCACGCGCAAGTTGATGAAGGAGCAAAAGGCGCTGGACCGCGACATGGCGCAGGCCGATGCGCTTGTGGCACACGAGGAGCGCGAGCGCATGCAGTCCGAGACGCTGAAACTCGTGTTTGCCACCTATTTCCGCATCCTGAAGCTGCGCACACCGCACCTGATGGGTGCAATTCTCGAGGGCCTAGCCAAGTATGCGCACTTGATCAACCAGAACTTCTTTGGCGACGTGCTGGAAGCACTCAAGGATCTGATCCGCTACAGCGAAGAGGACGCTGCCCGCGAGGCGCGGGCTGTGGAAGGCGAGGAGGATGAGGAGGCCGCCAATGGCGGTGCAGACGACGAGGACGACTTTGCCGTCTCCCGCAACCCCAGCCGCGAAGCGCTTCTGTGCACGGTGACGGCCTACGCGCTGCTCGCCGGCCAAGACGCACACAATGCCGCCAGCGACCTGCACCTCGACCTCTCCTTTTTCACGACAAACCTCTTCCGCAGCCTTTATCCGCTTGCCCTGTCGGCGGACATTGAGAAACATGCCAACTCACTACAGCAGCGCCTTGCCGATGCACAGGAAGCGGCTTCCTCGGAGACGACCGCGGCCGCGGCGGCTGCGGCCCTGAACCAGAAGAACGGCGTCAAGGTCAACTTGCAGACAACCACGGTCCTTCTGATCCGTTGTTTGACTGCGGTCCTGCTACCGCACTACAACATCCGGTCGGTGCCGCCCTTGCGGCTCGCCGCCTTCGCCAAGCAGCTCATGGCAGCGTCGCTGCACGTGCCAGAAAAGTCCAGCCAGGCGCTGCTGGCGCTTCTCTACGATGTGGCGCACACGCACAGCAAGAAGATTAGCGCGTTGTGGAACACAGAGGAGCGCAAAGGCGACGGATCCTTCAACCCGCTGAGCGAGACGGTCGAGGGCAGCAACCCGTTCGCAGCGACGGTTTGGGAGGGCGAGCTGCTGCGGCGGCACTACTGCCCAAAGGTGCGCGAGGGTATCAAGGCTCTGGAGAAGAACTTGACGATATGAGTAAGACGCCAGGCAACTCTGGATGCATCAAATCCCGGCGAGCAGTCGATTTACTTTTGAAAATATAAATGCTCTTTCCCTTCGTTACTTTCAAAGGTCGCTGCTGTCAGGCGTTCTATCATGCGCTATACTTTGTTCTTACCAACGTGCGCATGTATACGAAAGAAGGGCCTGTTGTTTGCTTTTGTTTTGGCTTGCATGTACAAGAAGATCTTACGATGGCGCTGTTTATCGGCAATGGTTAACCAACACCGGAGTCAACCAACATCTCGTCCCAGAAACAATGAGACTCGAGTTTAGCGAAGAGCGACAAACGCTATAGAAAGAAAATTTGTGACGAACGCATAAACGCCAGTGTCGGCAGGTCCGTCGCTCATCGTCTGTTTGTTCTTCTCTTCCTTTTCTATTAGCCATGAGCGCATAATATCGGATCTTATGACTATGAAGTGGATGCGAGGGCCTTGGATGGATTACGAAGGGAAACCGGAATGGTTAAAACGACAGGCTTGGGTAGACAAGCTGGATAACAAGAGGCGATGGCCATCATTCATGCGAATGGCCGGACGGGAATTGTTGTACAAAGTCAACGGTAACATAAGCAAGAAAACGAGGGCAGGCAGACAATGGAGGGAGCAATAGAGGAATAGTTGCCACCGGGCATGGGCCGTTGCATGATTTGACATTGCTGAATCGTTGGGTTTTTACCCCAGCCTTGTCCGGTGATGCTCTTTCAAGAGCATTGAAGAAGATCAGAAGATCCATCTTGCATTTTGTTTTCTCGTGTCCTTTGGAAGAGAAACGGCGGACCGTGACAAATTTTCTTTAAAATGATGCACATACATGTCCCTAATATACCATCCATGGTGGGGAAGGAAAATAAAGACAGGTCAAGAGACCCCAAATAAAAAAAGCAGTTTGCATCGTCAATGACGCTTATGTCCTATTCTTTTGTCGCTATCCTATCGCCATATGATTGCTTTCAGCCATGGACAACGTAATACTGAATGGCAAGAATCTACAACAGCATACACCTATGCATTCCCATCTACGCCGCATACGTCGCTCTTTGTCACACCGATCGGCGTATCTTTCCTTGAACCCTGTCTCCTACCTTCTATCCTCCCAGAAACGAGCCATGGGCTTGCAGGTTTCAGATTTGGGCTGGCAAGGCGATCAGTTCGTCAATCTCTCCATATTACTGAAGGCAACATGCCACGAGAAAAGCAGACAGTTCCTCGCCTTGGCCGGACTACCTCCACAGACGTAACTACTGTATCATTCGGGACTCCCGTGTGTTCCCGACATACTTTACATTTTGTACTTTTCATGATAACTTTCAAAAAAATCTCAGGTCGGAGGGAGCGAACTGACTCGGGATGCCAGGCCGAACCGCCGGAGAAGAGGCAAAACGGGGGATGCCCAAAACGACCCTGATTCTACCGTTGATTCCAGCAGGATCCAAGGGAGAGGGGACTTGGGTCTGTCCGCCAGCGTCATCATCAATGCTTCCTTACAACAACATTCCCAACTACGACATATTACTATTTCGTAGTCATTTTTTTCTGGTGGGGACTGGAGTACATGACTTCGGTGGAGTGATTTGCCCTTGGATCTTCCACTTCTCAGTTCGCGGAGGTGTCATACCTGATTTTGCCCCTACATGCGTTTTCTTCAATCAAAGCCGTCAAAGTCCTAGATGCCGTACGAGTATGATGCGGGCACGTTAGTTCTTCTTTCAATGGACAATGTCCTTGAACGGGGGTCTTCCCAATAAGGATGTATGTTAACCGGCAAGATCGGAACAGCTCGTCATGCCTTCGCAGC